AGTACATCCGACTCCGTCATGGATGAGCGCCGTCGCCTAGTATATAAACCTCGTAGCCTTAGAATTAAGCTTTAGTTTACACTTCATAACGGGTAGTAATACAACTGTCTGAAACGTTATGTAAGATAAAAATAAAGACAATGGAAGTTCGACATCCTTTTAGTAAAACTACGTTATGTTAAAAATAATTTGATTATCTTATCACAAGTGCAGAAAAAATTGGGTTGCTTTTTGATCCCTTATTACCTCTATTTCCTTTTACGTATAGACATACGAGGAATGTTCCCGAAGTTCTGACATTTTTGCATTATATTATTGTGTTAATTTGCCAAACTGGTTTTTTAAAATAATCTCCATTTAACTGAACTATTCTTTTAAGCCGTCCCTAAATAATTTTTTCTGCGTTTCCTCAATCCACCTATTTATGGCACGTCAATTAAACTTTTACCGCTAAACAGCACTTCTGTATTGTGTAAAGTCACCAAATACTCCTTGCAAAAGCCACAAAAATAAAATTATTGCCATTGGAGATTTTGATAAAATTAATAAATGAAAATTTAAATCGTGTCGCATTAAAAGGGACGACACATTTCGCAGATGCACACTTCGAATCGCGGATCAATCAAGATAAAATATGTGATCACAGACCCCCCACCCCACACCGCAGATAAGCGTTTATGCAGGCATGCACTTGAACAAGTGAATCAGTCATCGGGTGGTTTTCCGGATAGTTAGAACGTTCTAACTACCCTCGTCCACGCCTGTGTCAGTCGAAACATGGGAACCAAGCAAGAGGCTGCGTGTGAAAAGAATCTGGTACAGTTCTTTATGGTGTGGCTGTTGAAGAGCAGCATCCTCACCAAGGATGAGTTCGCAACCATGCCGGGGGACGTCTGCCGAAATTTATCTCGTATACGCTTAGAAAAACCAATAAAAAGTCTCGACGCGCTGTTCAATAGGTTCCTAGACGAGGGAACCAAAAAATTGCAGGCAGAAATGAGGCAACGAAGAATCGGATCTGAGAAAAGGAAGATAGAAGACGTGGACGAAACCGATTGCGACCTCCGTCGACCAAAGAAGCTAATGAGCAACGTGCGAAACGTCAAAATGCTGGAGTCCCTATTCCGTTTCTCGAGAAAACCAAAGGGTTCGAAATCGGTGAAACACGCCAAAGTCTTGATAATTAACAACGAGCATTTCGACGAGACGAAACACCTCTTCAGGACCGGATCCAGCGTCGACGTTGAAAATTTAAAACGATTATTCAAAGCTGATGGAACGGAAGTGATAGACCATAAGGATAAAAGTCGCGAAGAAATCAGAACGATCGTCAGGGAATTTGCCGAAAGCGAAATCCAACAGGACTCTGCCTTTGTGTTCGTGATGAGCCACGGCGAGGATTTGGGTACCGATACGTCTATAATATGCAACGAAAAAGATCAAGAAACTAACCGATTGACGGTGAATGAAATAGTGGATTATTTCTCAAGGGATAAATGCCATCGGTCGTTCCGCGGAAAACCGAAAATCTTCCATTTCAACTTGTGCAGAGGCAAGCTTCAAGATGAGGTTCCAGAGGAAGGGGACTACCACAGAAATCTAGAAGATGTGCTAATTGTGCATTCCACTTTACCTCGTTCAGTGTCGCATCGCAATCCTAAAAATGGCTCGCGTTCTGTGGAGTCTATATGCGCTGTGTTTGACCAACAGGACGGTTCTCAACCCATCGACAGATTATTCAGTATGGTCGATCAACGGTTGAGGGAGAACAGGAGAGGCGGCGTAGTCCAGACGTTGGAAATCCAGAACATTGGTTTTAACACGTTATTTTATCTCCCGCCTCGTCGAAAAAAGTCACAAAAGAAAAAGGCTGTCAATAAGGACTATTCTGTTTACTGAACATGTCTGCCATAAACTTCACCTTTTAAAATTAAAATTGTATTATTTTTTAAATTAAATTTCCACTAATGTATCTCTGTATATTCTACCATATTAATTTGATAAATCAGAATTGCAAAATCTTTCTCTATCTCTCTCAAATTGTATTATTTTTTTAAAAATAATTGTCACTGATATGAATCTGTTTCTGCTTATACATTGGAATTGGAATTTCTCTCTCGCTCTCTCTGACGTCCGTTGAAACAGCATACGCAGGCTGTGTTTAGAAGAGGAAGAAACTACCACCATTAGCTGGGAGGCACATCATTAAGAGAAATCCAAAATCCCCGTGAAACAGTTACTGTACTTCCTCCAGAATACAAGGCTCTATGAAGGTATTAATGTTGCTCTCTATCTAAGAATGGCAGAAACTCCCCTTACCTTCACGCACTTTTTGAATACAAAACAAAAGGAACATTTGTTTATCAAGTTTAAACATGAATTGGGAATGAGATAGAGCTAGATTCTGCTAACAATTTTAGAACGATTTAAGGGTAGAGCTATATTAAGAAAAAAATTGTTTTCTATTTTTAGATGCGTTTTGTATCTGCACGTAAAGGAGGGTGGCTTGAACCACAGCACTTAGCACTCAACAGGGCAATTAAGTCTCTTCATAGAAATAAATACAACGCTTGCCTCAGTGAAATAATAATAACAAATGAGTGATTCTGGTCTTACATGCAGTAATATATCAGAAATTTAATTATTTTACGCGTGCCACTAGTTGACAAGTTAGAAAAGCGTTATAAACAAACTTAATTACAACTAGCTCGTTAGCGCGATTGAGATTGATAGCCTAAGATTTATTGAACACAAATTTAGGTACGATGTAGTCTACCTTGGCCACTTATAGTGTGGCCCGGAGGAGACGTGCCATTGTCATCACAATCACCGAGAGCTAGATGTGATATTCAGCATTACCTCCAAGGCTATAGTAATTCGATAAACATTATCTCCTAGGAACGAAGATTTTATGCACAAATAAATAAATAAATAAAAATGATTTTGCTAATCGCCGATTGAGGAACACTAGATAAGCGTTTATGCTCCAGGCATGCGCTTGAATATATGAATCAGTTGTCAGATAGTTTTCCGGATGGCTTTATTTTTATTATAAATGCTAGTTTAAAGTCAGAAAATATCTGCAATGATATCTACATGTACATTCAAAAATCTTAAATATATCGAAGTTGTTTAATTTTTTTAAAAAGATTTTTGTTGTGTCAAAGTTAACGTTTCTGTTAAAAAAAGTGAGTTATTGTGATTGCTGAAAGTTTGTATTAACTTTTTAAAATAAAATTGCGCTAAACAATTCGCAAATGTTTTGTGATTGATATCGAATTTATTTTAATATTTGGAACAAATCTGAAGTCATGAGCTTTATCAAATATTGGTCTTATATACCGAAATATTAAAAAAAAATTATATTTTAAATTTTTAAAACTTCCCTCTGGTTCCAAGCGCTCACCATATTTATGATAGGGACTTACCAAATTGGGTACATATGGAAATGCATATTTTTTAAAGTTAAGATACTATATGAATGCAGTGATATTTACTAATACAATCTTCCACCATTTATCTTAACTGTAAAATTAGATATTACACACTATATAGGTAGCTACCTACATACTGCTTGGATAGGTTTCAAATTATATTCTATTTATTCTTTCATATGCCCTAATATAAATGTTTTATTAAAGCCTTTTAGGACAGAAGATTCCCTTTTTTTAATGATAAATTGTAATAAATAGATATATGTGTATGTATTAATTTAAGCACAAAAACGCTTATTTTTTAGTGTTTAGTAAAATACATACAGGTATTTAAATAAATCAAGATAGTGCAAACTTTAATATATTTTGTAAAATCAAAATATGTTTTTTGCTTTAAAAAATTGATTTTTCTACTATGTCCAACTGATCCCAAATTGTTAGGAATCAGACATTTTGTTCCTAAGTAATTACCAACTCCAGTTTTTTAAATATTGATTAAAAATTTTAGTTTAGTTTGTAACTAAAGCAAAAATATACAAAAATAAGACAAAAAAAATATTAACTCCAACATTATCATTCATTACAGTTATAAAAACAACATTCTTAACTTTAATTATTATTTACACATGTAGGAGAATGTTTCTTAATAAATAATTGCAACGATCTAAAAATTCAAAATTTCAAACTCTATTCATCTTCATATGCAGTAAGATGATCCAATTTTAACTCAACTCCTTTTTTTGGTTTATTTAACTTGGATCTTTTGGCTTTAACCTCTTGTCCCACCACATATTCTGCCATAACCAACCTAGAATTTTCAAATGAAGACTTATTTTCAGCCGTCTGGTGTGTGGTATGTTCGCGTTTTAAAAAGCGCCTTTTAAAGATAATTTTTGAAGGTAACTCTTCCAGTTCCTCACTTTCTTCCTCCATACCACTCTCTATCTTCTTTCTTTCTGCTAACTCTTTTAGAAAAGACATAGCAGATTTTGTGTTGCTTTCTTCAGTAATATCGTCCACACCTTCTAATGAATATCTCGTCCACTTGTGAGGGTTTTTTTTAAAGTCAGGCATACGATTGACATAATTTCTTGGCGCAGGATTTTGAGGTTTTTTAAAAATGCTTTCCCTGCCCTTGAAATGCTTCGTTTCTACCCTAGTAACTTTTGATTTTTCTCTGATATAAGACTTCTGTTGCTCTAAATCTTCTGACATTATATCATCTTGAATCAATGTTCCAGTATCATTGTTTGAAGCTTTTTGGTTACTTTCCAAAACGAAAAGCTGATCGAATATTTGTTTCTGCCTATTCCTAAAATCGGAATCACCAGAATTTAACCGAAAGGAGCTCATTTCTTATGTACGATCGATAATTTTATATATAAATATAAATTTAAATCGTGTCGCATTAAAAGGGACGACACATTTCGCAGATGCACACTTCGAATCGCGGATTAATCAAGATAAAATATGTGATCACAGACCCCCCACCCCACACCGCAGATAAGCGTTTATGCAGGCATGCACTTGAACAAGTGAATCAGTCATCGGGTGGTTTTCCGGATAGTTAGAACGTTCTAACTACCCTCGTCCACGCCTGTGTCAGTCGAAACATGGGAACCAAGCAAGAGGCTGCGTGTGAAAAGAATCTGGTACAGTTCTTTATGGTGTGGCTGTTGAAGAGCAGCATCCTCACCAAGGATGAGTTCGCAACCATGCCGGGGGACGTCTGCCGAAATTTATCTCGTATACGCTTAGAAAAACCAATAAAAAGTCTCGACGCGCTGTTCAATAGGTTCCTAGACGAGGGAACCAAAAAATTGCAGGCAGAAATGAGGCAACGAAGAATCGGATCTGAGAAAAGGAAGATAGAAGACGTGGACGAAACCGATTGCGACCTCCGTCGACCAAAGAAGCTAATGAGCAACGTGCGAAACGTCAAAATGCTGGAGTCCCTATTCCGTTTCTCGAGAAAACCAAAGGGTTCGAAATCGGTGAAACACGCCAAAGTCTTGATAATTAACAACGAGCATTTCGACGAGACGAAACACCTCTTCAGGACCGGATCCAGCGTCGACGTTGAAAATTTAAAACGATTATTCAAAGCTGATGGAACGGAAGTGATAGACCATAAGGATAAAAGTCGCGAAGAAATCAGAACGATCGTCAGGGAATTTGCCGAAAGCGAAATCCAACAGGACTCTGCCTTTGTGTTCGTGATGAGCCACGGCGAGGATTTGGGTACCGATACGTCTATAATATGCAACGAAAAAGATCAAGAAACTAACCGATTGACGGTGAATGAAATAGTGGATTATTTCTCAAGGGATAAATGCCATCGGTCGTTCCGCGGAAAACCGAAAATCTTCCATTTCAACTTGTGCAGAGGCAAGCTTCAAGATGAGGTTCCAGAGGAAGGGGACTACCACAGAAATCTAGAAGATGTGCTAATTGTGCATTCCACTTTACCTCGTTCAGTGTCGCATCGCAATCCTAAAAATGGCTCGCGTTCTGTGGAGTCTATATGCGCTGTGTTTGACCAACAGGACGGTTCTCAACCCATCGACAGATTATTCAGTATGGTCGATCAACGGTTGAGGGAGAACAGGAGAGGCGGCGTAGTCCAGACGTTGGAAATCCAGAACATTGGTTTTAACACGTTATTTTATCTCCCGCCTCGTCGAAAAAAGTCACAAAAGAAAAAGGCTGTCAATAAGGACTATTCTGTTTACTGAACATGTCTGCCATAAACTTCACCTTTTAAAATTAAAATTGTATTATTTTTTAAATTAAATTTCCACTAATGTATCTCTGTATATTCTACCATATTAATTTGATAAATCAGAATTGCAAAATCTTTCTCTATCTCTCTCAAATTGTATTATTTTTTTTAAAATAATTGTCACTGATATGAATCTGTTTCTGCTTATACATTGGAATTGGAATTTCTCTCTCGCTCTCTCTGACGTCCGTTGAAACAGCATACGCAGGCTGTGTTTAGAAGAGGAAGAAACTACCACCATTAGCTGGGAGGCACATCATTAAGAGAAATCCAAAATCCCCGTGAAACAGTTACTGTACTTCCTCCAGAATACAAGGCTCTATGAAGGTATTAATGTTGCTCTCTATCTAAGAATGGCAGAAACTCCCCTTACCTTCACGCACTTTTTGAATACAAAACAAAAGGAACATTTGTTTATCAAGTTTAAACATGAATTGGGAATGAGATAGAGCTAGATTCTGCTAACAATTTTAGAACGATTTAAGGGTAGAGCTATATTAAGAAAAAAATTGTTTTCTATTTTTAGATGCGTTTTGTATCTGCACGTAAAGGAGGGTGGCTTGAACCACAGCACTTAGCACTCAACAGGGCAATTAAGTCTCTTCATAGAAATAAATACAACGCTTGCCTCAGTGAAATAATAATAACAAATGAGTGATTCTGGTCTTACATGCAGTAATATATCAGAAATTTAATTATTTTACGCGTGCCACTAGTTGACAAGTTAGAAAAGCGTTATAAACAAACTTAATTACAACTAGCTCGTTAGCGCGATTGAGATTGATAGCCTAAGATTTATTGAACACAAATTTAGGTACGATGTAGTCTACCTTGGCCACTTATAGTGTGGCCCGGAGGAGACGTGCCATTGTCATCACAATCACCGAGAGCTAGATGTGATATTCAGCATTACCTCCAAGGCTATAGTAATTCGATAAACATTATCTCCTAGGAACGAAGATTTTATGCACAAATAAATAAATAAATAAAAATGATTTTGCTAATCGCCGATTGAGGAACACTAGATAAGCGTTTATGCTCCAGGCATGCGCTTGAATATATGAATCAGTTGTCAGATAGTTTTCCGGATGGCTTTATTTTTATTATAAATGCTAGTTTAAAGTCAGAAAATATCTGCAATGATATCTACATGTACATTCAAAAAATCTTAAATATATCGAAGTTGTTTAATTTTTTTAAAAAGATTTTTGTTGTGTCAAAGTTAACGTTTCTGTTAAAAAAAGTGAGTTATTGTGATTGCTGAAAGTTTGTATTAACTTTTTAAAATAAAATTGCGCTAAACAATTCGCAAATGTTTTGTGATTGATATCGAATTTATTTTAATATTTGGAACAAATCTGAAGTCATGAGCTTTATCAAATATTGGTCTTATATACCGAAATATTAAAAAAAAATTATATTTTAAATTTTTAAAACTTCCCTCTGGTTTATCTTAACTGTAAAATTAGATATTACACACTATATAGGTAGCTACCTACATACTGCTTGGATAGGTTTCAAATTATATTCTATTTATTCTTTCATATGCCCTAATATAAATGTTTTATTAAAGCCTTTTAGGACAGAAGATTCCCTTTTTTTAATGATAAATTGTAATAAATAAATATATGTGTATGTATTAATTTAAGCACAAAAACGCTTATTTTTTAGTGTTTAGTAAAATACATACAGGTATTTAAATAAATCAAGATAGTGCAAACTTTAATATATTTTGTAAAATCAAAATATGTTTTTTGCTTTAAAAAATTGATTTTTCTACTATGTCCAACTGGTCCCAAATTGTTAGGAATCAGACATTTTGTTCCTAAGTAATTACCAACTCCATTTTTTTAAATATTGATTAAAAATTTTAGTTTAGTTTGTAACTAAAGCAAAAATATACAAAAATAAGACAAAAAAAATATTAACTCCAACATTATCATTAATTACAGTTATAAAAACAACATTCTTAACCTTATTTATTATTTACATATGTAGGAGAATGTTCCTTAATAAATAATTGCAACAATCTAAAAATTCAAAACTTCAAACTCTATTCATCTTCATATGCAGTAAGATGATCCAATTTTAACTCAACTCCTTTTTTTGGTTTATTTAACTTGGATCTTTTGGCTTTAACCTCCTGTCCCACCACATATTCTGCCATAACCAACCTAGAATTTTCAAATGAAGACTTATTTTCAGCCGTCTGGTGTGTGGTATGTTCGCGTTTTAAAAAGCGCCTTTTAAAGATGATTTTTGAAGGCAACTCTTCCAGTTCCTCACTTTCTTCCTCCATACCACTCTCTATCTTCTTTCTTTCTGCTAACTCTTTTAGAAAAGACATAGCAGATTTTGTGTTGCTTTCTTCAGTAATATCGTCCACACCTTCTAATGAATATCTCGTCCACTTGTGAGGGTTTTTCTTAAAGTCAGGCATACGATTGACATAATTTCTTGGGGCAGGATTTTGAGGTTTTTTAAAAATGCTTTCCCTGCCCTTGAAATGCTTCGTTTCTGCCCTAGTAACTTTTGATTTTTCTCTGATATAAGACTTCTGTGGCTCTAAATCTTCTGACATTATATCATCTTGAATCAATGTTCCAGTATCATTGTTTGAAGCTTTTTGGTTACTTTCCAAAACGAAAAGCTGATCGAATATTTTTTTCTGCCTATTCCTAAAATCGGAATCACCAGAATTTAACCGAAAGGAGCTCATTTCTTATGTACGATCGATAATTTTTGTAAAAATTTTGTATTTACTATTCGGATATTATTGTAAGTAAACAATCTAACCTAAAGAAAGCATAGAAAATTGAAAAATCTGTACCTGTGTTATGCATACTCTGCAAAGGCATTCGCCCATACAGAAAAAACTGTAAGTACGAAACAAAACTTCGGTTAGAATATTTTCACCGATCCGTTTATTTTTAAATATGTTTTAGTCACAAACTTGTTTTGTTTTTTTCTTACTAAAAAGTAATAATCTAACGAATGAATATAAAATTATTTTAAAACTGAATGTTGTAGAACTATGAATTATCAGCGATTCTGCGGTGGGCGGATCATTGCATAGAAAACGAACAAACATTGAAACAAACAAAAGAAGAGTAACCTTAATTTGTATTGGGGTGTATTGAAAACCAAAAGAAAAGTTCTTTTTATGTGTAAGCAGTAATTAGAAGATGTTACCAGAACAAGATGATTTGATAAGAACAAACTGGTTATCACTTATGCAAATAAAAAATATAGAAGTTATTGCTAAACATCTAACAGATAGCAATGTCTTTCACAATTCGGAGATCAGTGACATATTTTCTACTAGTGACGACAGACATAATAAGAGGATGTTTCTATTTAATTTAAGGGAAAAGGATGAGCCAGCCTTTCAATGTTTCGTCCAATCATTGATAGATACAGGCCATAATTCCTTAGCGGAGCTGCTTAAACCAAAACACAAGTGCTCTCCTTTTCGATTACCTGATGAAGAAGACTGTAAAGAGGAAGAGGAAGAAGATGAAAAGACTTCCTCAATTGAAGTAGAATATTCTTACACAAATCCCAACACTTCACCTTTAAACATAAAAGTGAAATTGGCTGATGACTTTCATGACTCTCCAAAATATAATAGCAATTTGCAGTACTATCAAACTAGGTCTAAAAATAGAGGAAGGGTTCTAATTATCAACAATTATGAGTTTTTGGAAACAAAGCATAAGTACCGTAAAGGAGCAATAGTAGATGAAGAAAATATTGAGAAATTATTTAACCAAATGGGAGGTTATGTAATAGAGAAACACAGCAACAAAACCACAGAGGAAATGCGAGTTATAATGAAAGACTTTACCAAGTATAAGTCTGAAAAAAAATGTGACATATGTTTTGTGTTTATTATGAGTCATGGTTGTGAAGAATTGAACAAAACTATAATCTATGGCATTGATGGCAAACATATATCTGCCACTGATGTACAAAGCTATTTTACAAATAAAAAGTGTAAACTGTTCAAAGGAAAACCGAAGGTTTTTATATACCAAGTTTGCAGAGGTTCAGATAGAGATATTTCAATTCAACATACTGACACAGATGGCATGGAACACAAACCTTTAGCTACTCGCTTACGCTCCATTGAAGATATGCTTATAGGTTATGCAACATTACAAGGCTATAAAGCTCATCGAGATACTTATAGAGGTACTTGGTACATAGAGCTAATTTGTCAAAATTTTATGGAGTATGCTAACAAACAATCTGTGGATCATTTGTTGATGATGGTGGACCAAGGGCTTAGAAAGCGACTCTCTGAAGATAGAACTATGCAGACGTCTGAAGTGAAAAATAAAGGATTTAAAAAATTGTATTTGAATCCTGGTATATATCAGGAAAATGGAGCAATGAAGAAATATGGTATCTGAACTATTTTATATGTTTATACATATTTCATGATTATTTACTTATTTACTTTATCATTAAGGTTTAATAAATTTTGTATATAATTTTGTTTACTGAAATTTTCACTGTGGAACCATTACCTCCATAATCTCCTACGTACTCGTTATGTAAAATAATATCTAAATTCAAATTATGAAAAATATATTTTGTTGGAATTCGGAATCTACAGAACAAACGATGTAAATGTTTGCTTTGTGATTGGTTAAGCAACTAATTCGGCAACTCTCCTTGAAACCAACATGGTGATAAGTTATTTTACTATGGTAATAACCTTTTCCCTGCATTACTCAAATGGAAATTAGAAAACAAATCTTAAAAGAGTAAATTTCACTTGCGATAAGTCATTTAAGTTGCAGATAAAACTTCGAAGCTTTACAAATGAATTCAGTGAACGCTTGTTGGTTAACAGGTAAACAGTTGTCGAGTTTCATTTGTTCTGGTATCTAACCTTAAACAATAACATTCAAATTCAAAAACACAGGATAGGGTATGATCCGATATAATTTCAAATTTTTTATTGATGTAGCAAAAACAGTTTTGTCAATTCATATTTTAATATCTGTTTGGTAAAGCTTAGAGATATGTTTAGTTTGTTAGAAACAGTGTTTTTTTTTTAGTTATTGGTTGTTATATGGCAGCAGAATGACAGGGCCCACAAACGTTTCGTCAAAAAGAAAATTAAGACTCGAAAATAAGAAGAAAAAAATGGCTGCTCTTTTAGACATAGTAAAACTAAACGAATGCGACAGACAAAAAAACAAATTACACCAACAGGACCATCAGAAGGAACCAAATTTTGCAATGATTGCAGAACCCAGTGCCAAAAAATTTAAACCAGAACAGTAAAAAGCAATTAAAATGAGATGCCTTGAATATTTGATTACGAAACTAATTTTAGGAAAGAGGATGGATCAGCAAATGTGGATTTTGTCAAACCAAAGCTTGAAGGAGAGGCATTTGATGAGTTGAAAAAAATGCTCAGAGATAAAACAAATAAGATTCGTAATAGCCCAAAATTTAGGCTCCGAGATATGGGAGAAAGTGCCACACTTAAGATCCGACTAGAGAACCGTTCACCATTATTTCTCTCTGACATTCAGCACCTTATTATGTACTCTCAAGTTGGAGTACACTCCCCATACTCACCAACAAGGTGGTGTTCTCTTGAAAAGTACAACAGACTCAAGAGTGTAAACTTATTAATTGTGGAGAATGTCTCCTTGTACCACTATGAAGCATTTGAAAGTGAATTTCAATTTTTAAAATCTAATTTTGAACACAAAATTGAATTTGTATCGCCATTATCTTACCGAGGAGATATTATTAAAGAGTTGTCTATGGTGCCCCTTTCTGGTAAGTTTTTTATTAATAATAAATTTGGAAATTTTTATATGATTTAAATGTAAAATGTTTTAGTGTAATCTCTTTATTTAATTAAGATATGCAAATGGAAATGGGGTGTGGTGCCAACTTGATGTTTTTGTAAACAATTATTTTGTGCTTCCCAGAATTTTTTTTTTTTTTTGATAAGATTATTTACCTACTTGTTGAACTTTTGTTTCTTAGAAGTGAATCATGTTGGGCATGGAAAATAAGGTGTATTATATTAAATTTTAGTGGAAATAATTTTAAATTATTTGTATTGCAATTGCATTGAAATTTCAATTTTTTGTTGTGTAAGTAGTACAGAAGCAGCTTATCATATTTATCAAATAAATATATGAAAATGTTTCTTTATACGACACAAAACATTTCCACCTTGTTTATATTTCATATTTAAATATATTATGTTCTCAAATCAATAATTTCCTTCAACACTTAAATCCTTTTTGATTAATTTGGTTTATATTGGGATTTCTATTTGATAATAACACTACTTATAAAAAATTTAGGAACTTCTTCTTTCGGTGCCATATCAGGTCCCCCTAACGTTGGCAATCACATTGGCGAGTTGATCACGGTCTTCGGCTAATCTGAATAGTTGTTCGGCACTGCGTATTCCGGTCCAATCGCGGATGATCTTTAGCCATGACATTTGTTTCCTTCCAACACCTCTGCGACCTTCGATTTTGCCTTTCATTATAAGTTGAAGGATTTTGTAGCGGTCTCCTCTAAGAACATGCCCCAGGTACGATATTTTTCGTATTTTGATTGTGTTAAATAACTCACGGACGGCACTTGCTCTATTTAAAACTGCTTCGTTGGTCTGCAGAGCGGTCCATGGTATTCGGAGCATTCTTCTATGCAACCACATCTCGAATGCTTCCAGGCGATTAATAGCATTGGCCTTGAGAGTCCAAGTATCAGCACCGTATAACAACACAGACCAAATATAGCATTTGATCAGTCTTTGGCGCAAATTGAGGTTTAAGTTATCATTGCAGAAGAATGGTTTCATTTTCATAAAAGTTGTGTGAGCTGTTTCTATTCTGCATTTGATTTCTTTATCTGGATCTAGTTGCTCTGTGATATAGCATCCAAGATATCTGTAATAGGTAACGCTATCAATGTTTTGCTGGTCTATATTTAGGGATGCATCGGCATGTGGCTGGCGACTGAATACCATAAATTTTGTTTTAGCGACATTCATTTTTAAACCCATGTTCCATCCTGTCGTGTTTACGCAATCCAACAGCTCTTGAAGGCCTTGGATACTATCACATAAGATGACCGTGTCGTCGGCATACCGGATAGTATTAATCAGTTCGCCGTTGATCATCACTCCATGGTCTTTATCTTGTAGAGCCTCTTTGAAAATCACATCTGAATAAAGGTTGAATAATAGCGGGGAGAGAATGCATCCCTGCCTGACACCTCGCTGAATGCAACATTCGCGGGTTAATCTTCCATCGAATCCTACCACTGCTTTTTGGTTCCAGTACAAGTTCTCTATGATACATAGATCTTTACCATCGATACCTGAGGTCCTTAATATATTAAAAAGCTTATCGTGTTGAACCCTATCAAATGCATTTTCGTAGTCGATGAAAGCCACATAGATGTCTTTACGTTGGTCGCGACACTTCTGCAGGAGGACATTTAGGGCAAAAAGTGCCTCGCGGGTTCCAAGTGCGTTTCTAAAACCAAATTGGGGTTCGTCTATATCCCTTTCGCACCACCGGCTTCTTCCATGTATTATGCGAAGGAAGATCTTAAGTGTGTGGCTCATGAGGCTAATTAACCTATATTCATCGCATCTCTTCGCCTGTTGTTTTTTCGGAAGGGCTATAAAAACAGACTTCAACCATTCCTCGGGTATTTTACCAGAATCATATACATTGTTGAAAAACTTAGTTAAGGCACTGATGTGATCTTCGTGGATCATCTGCAAGAGCTCTGTTGAATGTTTCTTGGGTTTGGCTGTTTTTATAGCATGTAGAACTTCCGATTTCAAGATTTCTGGTCCTTCACCTTGATTTACATTTTCTTGTATATTTGGCCTGTCGTCTTCAAACATTTCGGTTAGGTATTTTCTCCATATCTCAATTATTTCTTGTTCACCAATAATAGTTTTTCCTGTATTATCCACTATAGTATTAGCAGCCTCTTTGTTATATAAGCCAGCAACTTCCCTAACTTTCTTGTACATGTTGAACATATCATGTTTTTTTCCAAATTCTTCCATTTCAGAACATCTATCCGTCATCCACTTCTCCTTAGCCGCTCGTATTTTTTGTTTTATTTCTCTTTGTTTCCTTTTGTATTCTACTGCTTTGTTCTTGTATTGTCTTCTTTGTTCCATAAGGTCCAATATTTTTTCAGTCATCCATTTCTGTTTCTTGTGCCTATTTGTTACTCTATGTGCTTCTAATATCTTGGTCATATGTTCACGGAATAATTCCCATGTTTCATCAACATTTTCTGTAGTTCTCATTTCTCTCATGTAATCATTAACCTCTTTTTCAATTTTACTTTTGTTGACGTCTGAAATACTGCAATTATTTTGCTGGTGTTTCTTCTCTATCCGTTTTAACTGAACTCTTACGTCGGCGACTAAAGGGTTGTGGTCAGATCCAATATCTGCGCCAGGGTATGTTGTAAATCTGTTGATGGAGTTCCTGAATCTTTTGTTGACAAGAATATAGTCTATTTGATTTCTCACTATATGTGTTGGGTTATCTCCAGGGGCTCTCCAAGTATATAGCCTGCGTTGATGTACCTTATAACATGTGTTTGTTACTACCATATTGTATTCTTGGCAAAAATCAAACAACCTGTCCCCTCGTGCATTACTCTCTCCTAGACCATATTCCCCAACCAGATCTGATCTTTTGCCTTTGCCAATTTTGGCATTAAAATCACCCATTATATACGTGATTTCATTTGTTTTTAAGCTTTTCAGTACTGCACTAAGTTGTTTATATAGGTTTTCCACCTCGTGATCATGTTGTTTTTCTGACGTAGGAGCATATACCTGTACTAGGTTGATGTTAAGTGGAGATGCGTTTAGTTGTACTAATAGTATCCTGTCGCTTATTGGAACAAAATTAAGTACATGCTTCGCAATTTCCGGTGTTACAAAGATTCCTACTCCGTTTCTATGATGTGGGTCGTTGTTGTCGCTCCCGGAATAATACAATATACTGTCTTCATGTCTACAGGTTCCCGAACCACGCCATCGTATTTCACTTATACCCATGATAGACAGCTTCAAGCGTTTGGTTTCTTGAACAAGATTTTCAAATTTTCCGGCAGCATAGAGGGTTCTCACATTCCATGTGCCTATCCGCATTCTAGATTTTGCTATTTTGAGCCGGGGGATTCTTAGCACCCCTTGCCCATCTAAGGGCTGCCCTGGACTATGGGCCGTGTTTTTTATTTTCCTCGCCATAGCAATATCCTGGGAAATATTAACGGTGTGGTTTCCCGTTGCCTTCACCGTTGGAAAGGATATAGGTAGGATTAAATGGGAAAATGGGTACGACGAAGGGTTGGGTCATGATTTCCCCCAATGGGGTGGGAGGTGGGAGAAAATCAAGAGTTCGCTTGGGCAGGGGTGCTAAGGCCCTGCTCTCTGCTTGGATTGCAGGAAGGTATCTACCCGCAACCGTTTTTTTAGGAACACTGTGAAATAATTTATCTAAAAAAGAATAAACGTGAAGTGCAGCACTAAACAATGTTTAAAAAACTTTTTTACAATGGTTTTGTGAAATATTTACCACATTGCTGTATAATTTTTTGCTCGGAATTCTTTCCATTTTTACTTTTATAAAAAGTGAAGTTTTTTCACAAAAAATGTTTCTTTAAGCAACACAAAACATTTCCACCTTGGAATTTGGAATTTTATATTTAAAAATATTATTATGTTGACATAGATGGGATTACTTTTTGTCCAAATCAAAATCATTTCTTGTAACACGCAATAATTTTAATCCTTTTTGATTAATTTGATTTATATTGGGATTTATATCTGATAATAACACGACTTATAAACCTTTTAGGAACAGTGTGGAGTAATTTATATAAAAAAATAAAATAAAATAATAAAATAAAACTTTTTTACAATGGTCTTGTGAAATATTTTCCTTTTTTACTTTTATAAAAAGTAAAGTTTTTTCACCAAAATAATGCGAACCCAAGGATGTTATTCCGAAATTTGTTTTCCAGCAACCCAGATGCGGAAATTAATAAACGAATACGGAACTATGGCGGATGCCGCCAAAAATTGCACCGAAATATTTGACACCGTTAAGAATTTTTTCCCTATCGACGAGTGCCCCAGCGAACCTAGGGAAACTATCAGCGGGTTGCCGGCAAGCGACAAATTTTCAAGGTAAGCTCAGGTTTAATAAATCTATATACCCGGCACTGTGCTAGAAAACTTAATTTGTTGGTTTTAATGCCTAACAGAACCCAGTATGTAATTTACTTATCTAAATATTTATTTCGAAAAAATGAAAAAAAGAAAATTTTTTAAGACAACTCAATAGGTTAGACTGTCATGGTCTTGCTACTGATAAAATCAAATTAACAGTTTTAAGTGAATAATTTACATGGAACTGTATATTTTTTAACTTACAAATATCAAACGGTATTAGGGTATCTGGTTAACTCTTCCTGTTTTAGCTGATTAGCATTTCCAAGGTGTCCTAATAAAAGTTTTTTTTGGCTATGGTTTTCAGAAATGTCAAATAATTTCTTTAGACTGCCAACTTTGTCTCATTTTGCCATTATTTTCTATAATTGTTGATATTTGCATACTATTCTTGTGGTGTTGTTTTTGATCTAATGAAGATTTACTCAGAAGAACAGCGTATTGATATGATTTTCATCTTTGGAAAATGTCATCAAACTTCAACATTTGCTTCAGTTTCATGTTATCTTTGTAGGTAGTTTTCATTTATTGTTTACAATACATACCTAGTTGTCGCTTCCTCCGATTTTAAAGTATTCCACAAGTTGTAATTCTTACTTCTATAAGTAGAATTTCCACCAATGTCAAGTCAAGTGATGAAGTGTCAGAGAAAATGATCAATCCCAGAAACCATATAGCTATGCCCTACTACGATAAAAATGGATGCGTTTTTACTAGGTTTTCCAGAGTATTCAACGAGATCTAGGAATATTTTGACAAAATACGGCCGCGAAAATGCCTCATCCACACTTTGACAATCTGTCAGCGGCCATGTTGGTTGTCGAATGCTGCAAGGTCCTTGGTTTAAAACGGGATTTTAGATCTTGCGCATGCGCATGTTGAATAGAGCTCAATTTTTTTTATAGTTGCTTCATAAGTTGCTGTATTATAGCCATAGACTTTCCAGCAACTTACCAAATTATCTGTCATTTCTAAATACCATAGGCAACTAGATGCATAACAAGAACTATTTAGAGAATACCAAAAACCATAATTTCAAAGTCACCCTGTATAGTATCGGTAGCGTTTTATATTTTTGAGAAATGAAAATTAAGTTATATACATTAAGATTGAGGTATCATAAAAGTTTTAGATAAATGGTCTTTCCCACTATGAATACTTTTTGCACTTTCCACATCCCACAAGTAAAATTTTTCGGAAACCGTTCATTTTGATCCCAATATTGACTTTAGTATATCCCTGTATAATAAGTTTATAAATTATTGAAGCAAATAATAACAAGTTAACAAAACCGTGTAATACTAGAGAGTAAATAAATAAAACGCGTCAAACGTAGGAAGTTTGGTTTAATTATTATGTTAACTTTTTTCGGAATTTATTGTAAAAGTAATAATATTATAGATAGAATAATGCCAATTCTTTCTAAACAAATTGATGAAATATGCTTTTGTGTGCTGCCTTCTACGATACATACGTCACTGGTTGGTTAGTTTGGCTGGTATTCATTATCATCTAGTTGACACTTGTTGTAGAACACAATTATTATTGTCGGGTTGGCAAATGATTGAAGAAAACTTTCCATTACCCATTAAAGGGCTTGTAGAACGAAAATACGCCGATTATAAGTTAACTAAAGAGAAGTACAAAAATGTCACTCCTACCAGTCCGATGGTGGGGATCGACTGCGAGATGTGCCGGACCAGTACAGGTAGGTCTTCACTTATTTTGGCCCAGGATTTTCAAGCATTATATTTCAAAATTGTTTAGCTTGTTTAGTAAAAAAATATATTTTTTTAACTTGTGCTTCGTCATTTTCGGTTAATTTAAGAATAATTTCTTTAATATGGCAACAAAATAGTAATGTAGGTTGATATTTTTTACTGAAGGAGTCGCTGTTAGTTTTTCCTTGTTTAGCTTCTCTTATGGTAAAAATTGTGCGTTATTATTTGCGTAAGTTATTTTTTAACGGATTTTGAAAATATTTTGGTTTTATGGTATTCATATCCATTTAGGTGAACTCGAATTGACAAGAGTATCGGCTGTCAACGAAAAGCACGAGGTATTCTACGACACGCTGGTGAAACCGGATAACAAAATCGTCGACTATTTGACTCGATTTTCCGGGATTAATTCCAAGATGATGCGATCGGTGACGAAAAAGTTAAAAGACGTCCAGAACGATCTCAGGAGGATTCTACCCGATGACGTCATATTAGTGGGTCAGTCACTGTCTAACGATTTGCACGCGTTGAAAATGATGCATCCCTATGTGATAGACACTAGGTATGAGTTTCCTCCTGTCATGTATACCTGCTATTTTGGTTGGTTATTACCGCTTATCTGAGGCTAGTAATAATTAACAGAATTAGTTCTATTAATTTTTTTCCTAAAGGACGCAAAAACAGTTAATAAGGTTTTCGTTTAGGCCAGTAACAGCATTTAAAATTTTTATACCTTGTCGAAAACAGTTAATTTTAAATGTCTGCCGTTTTTACAGCTAGTATTGGCGCGGGAGGCCTAAAGCATTTGTTAAATCGTAATTTGTGGGATATAATTCAGTAACATACCAGGTACCCTAATATAATCTTTAAATTCAAGGGAGATCTGCCTAGAATCTCATTGGGGGTTGAAAATATCGCATAAAATAATATTTCTTAAAAGGTTTCTTTCTCTTCTTCAAAACCTTATCTGGCATTATTTCCATGCCACCGTGAATATGCATGCATCTTTTCCAACCCACTTACGGCGTGGTCGACCTAAAAGACCTTGTGTTATGTTACCTAGCCACTGGCCTTTTCTTTGTTTACCATATTACCACCAGTATAGAGTTCTTTGAGTTTCTGGTTAGTTTTTATTCGGTATTGCTTCTTCACTGGTTGGGACGAATATCTTCCGCCGCACCTTGTTTCCAAATATCTTTAGTAGTTCTTTATTTGCAACGGATAGTTTAGTTGTTCAGGTGAGTTCCATTAATTTCATTAAAGAGCAAGGAGGCATATATTTCCAGCTTGGATCCTATTATTTATTTCTTCTCCCAATACTCTCTAATACTCGTGTCTAGGTATTTGAGTTTGTAAAATGATGCCCTATTCTTTCTATGTGCAGTCATTCCTATTGGTCTTGTCTTCATGTATTTTTAGATCTTTTTTTTTCCGCTTCATTTTCGAACCTTAGGTTGATCCTGCTGTTGCCAATAATGTCCACATCGTTTGCAAACGTCAAGACTAGGTCGGGTCTTTTGTTATGAAATGTAGCAGTTGGTGTCTTAATCTTACCATTGGTAATGGTGTATTCTATTGCTATATTAAGTAGTTGAGGTTAATGTTAAAGGCATCAGAGGTTGGTATTTGGTGAACTTTTTTGGCCTGATTCATGCCAAGTGCAAACAGTAAAAATGCTGAACTGAAAATAACCATAATAATAATTTCATAAGGGGTGCAAAAGTCCCTATTTTCATTACATTAAAATGAAAACAATGCTATATATGTTCCTTGATTAAGTATCTATGATCGTTACCCCTTCTTTTTCGGATTATTTCCTAGCGTAATTTACAACATAACCGGAGACCGAGCGCGCAAGTCCAAACTGCAAACCTTGGCGCAGGAGTTCCTCAACGAGACCATCCAATCGGGTCACGGGCACTGCTCCAACGAGGACAGTCTCGCGTGCATGAAACTGACCCAGCTCAAACTCAAAAAGCACCTGTATTTCGGCGACGCGATAATGGGCTCGATTTTTACCGAACAAAGGGCGTACCCAGACATCGGCACGTCCAGCTACGCCACCAGCATGCTGCGGCAGTGCACCAAAATGGACAAAACGGCGTCCGTGGTCGGCGTCGACGACACCGCGGACAAGTATAAATTTTACGTGGACAAGAACGTGACTCGCGAGGTGACCAATATCGCGTGCACGTCCGAAACGTCGAACAGGGGCGTGGTGAAAAAGTTCTGCGAGAACCTCAACCGTTATTCATTGAACGTCGGCCAGATAAGGATAGCGGAGACCGAATTGGACAACTCGAACAAGGCGTTCAACACTCTCGACAAGTGGATAGGTGAAGTTTACGCGTGCGCGGAAATGCCGACGCTTTTGGCGGTGATGTTCGGCGGCCAGAAAGACGGCGGCAACGGGGCATGTTTCCTGCAGCTGCACAGGGAATACGTATGAGCGCGGGAACTATCGTTGCGCCCTCTTTTTACATATTACGTCGTTAACTCCATTAAAACATTTTTTTCTCTGTTTTCCTTGCCTCTTATTTCCATTTTTTATTGATATTGGTAGCATCTCATCGTTCGGTAATTGTGTAGCTCTTAAAAACTATTTACTGTCATTTATCTGAACTTTGCTATTTAACCTTTATGTTGTTCACTTCGTTTAATAATTCCTGTAATTGCACATTTACATTTTATAACCCTCTGGCATTAAGGAACAGGTATGGCCATTATTAATAAGGAGAGTATGCCGGAAAACCAACAAAAATGCGACAGTCACAGTATTCTAGTGACATTTATAAAGCGCAGCCAGACACAGAATTTGGGAAGGGAGCTTTACACACTAGGTTTAGGTTTTAGAACAAAAATGTTCAGATTTTCACAGTTATTTATTGGTTTATGACAGCTGTTGCAACACCCTACCTTTATTATTTATCAAATACAAAATATTGCAATATTCTGAAATCTACAAATATACAATCAGGTAGTAATAGATTCTGCCTATGACGCATATGTTGCGCCATGGCCTTCCACCACCACAAGCCAATGACGCGACAGTTGGGTCCAGTGCACTTAAAATTTCAGGTAGTCAGTATTTTGCCGACTTTCGAGAAGGGGTGTTGCTTTTTTTTTGCAGTTTTAGCGCGTTTGAGCACATGTTTTTGCAATGTCGGTTTTGGGAATTTCTTCAAAGAAGTAATGACAACAACAACCCCTTCCGGCCCAAAAAAAAGGACTTTTTGCGTGGGATAGAAAGAGACCTTTATTGAATAATGAACTGCTCACATTGGCTAACGCTTCAAAAAGTGATGAGTGGGTAGTAGAAGTGAGTATAAGCCTTCCTCAAGTGACGAAAGTGCAGAGTCGGACCAGGAAATTCTTCAACAGCCACCTTTTCCTGGTCCATTGCGAAATAGTAATTACTTGTCGAATATTGGATGGACTGACGGGATGAACTTGAAACAAATTTCATTCTCAGGTAATCCTGGATTACAAGTAGATGTATCAGACCTTATGGATTTTTTAAATTATTAATCACAGATGACTTGTTAATATATATTGTTGAAGAGACGAATCGATATGCAGAAATTTTTCTTAGCCAGAAAACCACTGAGCAATCTCGAATTACGACTTGGAAACCACTTTTCTACTTATAATGCGTTGCTTGCATTTTTCAAAAAACCCAAACAGAGGAGGACCTGGGTTCGGAGATCGATTGCACAAAATAAGATTCATTTAATATTATATAAGTAGTAAAATGTATCCCTTGATGAGTCAATTGTCATTAAAAATAAGACTCATAAGTTTTTTGTAAAATTTCGTCCTTTGCGAACTCTCCGGTTTAGTTTTCAAAGTAAGAATTTACACTGGTGCAGAAGATGATATGTCCGGCAAAGGTCATGCTAAGAATGTTGCATAAAAATTTAGGCATGGGACATAGTGTGTTTATGGATAATTTCTACAATAGTTTTTCCTTTGCCAAAGGGCTTCTCCTAAAAAACACCTTTGTCACTGGTACTCTATTAAAAAACAGAAAAGAAAATCCAAAAGAAGTTGTAGAGGCAAAGCTCGAGAGGGAAATGCTTACAAAATGCTCAGAAAACATAATGATTTTGAAAGTGGAAAAATGAGAGAGAAGTTTTGTTTATTTCTATTAAGTTTGACGGTACTTTGGAACAAGAGAATCGAAGAGGCGAAAGAAAAGACAAACCAAAGGCGATAGCTGAATATAATAAAAATATGTCGGGAATAGATCGTCAAGACCAAATACTTTCTTATTATTCCTCTGAAAAAAAAAACTCTAAGATGGTACAAGAAGCTGTTTGTGCACTTTTTGTCCATTGCAACATTAAATAGTTTTCTATTATTTAATAAATATTCTTCCGAGGAAAAACTCGATTACTACACTTTTCGGCATACTCTTATATAAAAGAACTGCTTTCTGAAGCAAACTAAACAAATAAACAAACCAGCTCAGCTACATCAAATATAACCACCGAACATCTTTCCTTGAAGTTCGATAAAGATGATAAAGGAAAGCAAATAAGATGCAGAGTGCCCTACAGCCAGCTGCGGAAGACACCGTGTTTTTCTGTCCCTCCTGCGGAACTGCCTAGGAGAGTGCTTCAAAAAATTTCACTCACGCCAATAATCTTAGGAAACTTAACTTGAAATTTTGACATTCTTTTGTACTAGTTTTTAAGCCAGGTTTTATTTATTTTTTTTTATAAATAATAAAAGGTTATCACAAAAGTATAGAAAAAAATGTGACTGGCAGTGACATATGTCTTACGTCAACGTCTTTTCAAGGGCCAAACTTTCTACGTCAGACCGATGACGCAACCCTTGTGTCATGCCAAATGTCATTGCGATCTGTCAAGCTGATATCTGAAAATATAAAGAAATATTTTTTTCTACTCCCGTCTGTAAATTAGCTAATTACCCATCGATCCAGCGTGCGGGAAGCGTCATTTTACCACGTCACTTTCGTTTCCCATGATTCCGAGCCAGTTCGAACATTTCCGGGATTTTACCGCGCGGGTTTGGGAGCAATCGGATGTTTGCGGAGATATTTCCCACGCCTTGAATTGTGACGTTTGTTAATTCTGACGGTCATGTCAGTGAATGTATTCGTGTTGTTTTGTGAAAATGGACCCAAAAACTAACGGTCGTAGAAAAAGTATAGTATGCAACACGTTCGGTAAACTTTTTAACTCACTCGTTTATTAAAAACTCTTCTCTAGTGTCAAATAAACTTGTAAGTCAAAAGGCACCTGTTGCATAATACACTATTTAAAGAGTCTTTTTAAATCTTTTATCACAAAAAAGCTGGGGTGTTCATCAAATTTTTACCGGCAGCGAACGTGTTAAATCCAATTGGTTATTAACTAATTGGATATTTCATTTTATTAATCTTCCTAGCTTCCAGCAAATTTAGTTTTTTGCTTTTTGATTCATTTTGTAAAATATCAAAATGATCGTCAAACTTGCGCATTCCAGAATTTAAATGAATGGCGTAGGTAGAATCTGAACTATTATTTTTATACGCTCTTTTATGTTCGTTAATGCGTTTCTTAGATGTTGTACCTGTTTATCCGATATAAATTTTGGCATAAGATCCACATGTCCACTTGTAGACTCCAGATTTGTGAGTTTTTCGAGATTTGCTTTTATTGTTATTGTAGTTTTTTTGTTACAGCACCATCAGTTACACTTTCAACAAGATTAATAAAAGTTTTAAAATATCATATTTCGACGTAATAAACATAATACACAATATTCTTACACAGAGAGAAGTCAACACTATAATAAAACAAGATTTGTTAGAGAGTTTGATAGTTTGTTTTTACCAAAATTATTTTATTTTTACTGGTCAATTTTATAATGCTAAAAAATTATTATTAATTATGAGGAATCCATCTAGTTGACTACTTCCAGATATTTTCATGGACAATGTAGAAAATATCATACATAAACATCCTCTGAGTAAAAGATTTCTTTGGTGGTATAGATACGTATATTATGCTTTTGCTTGTTTCGCTGAAACGAAAAGGCAAGTACAGTCAGTTTCACTTAAGCTCTGAAAAAGCCAGCAGAATGATTGGCGAAACGTTAGCTGGTTCGTGTCAACAAAAACCGACGAAGCAGGATCCAGAAGTTTTATAAAAAGTATAACAGTAGCCTGTGGAAGTTTCTTTGAAAGATTAAAAAAACAGCTACAGTTCTTTTTGAATCATATTAACATAACCATATAAAATTTACAATAGAGACGGAACTAGGTAACTCTTTACACTTTCTGAACTTAAGTATAACAAACTTACAAAACAAATTAGATTTTTCCATTTACCATAAACCCTAACATACGGACACATTAATACATAATAATTCAAATCACATTCGCATACACAAAATGGCTGCTTTTTATTCTTTTACCCTCAGACTACGTAATACACCACTTTCCGCAGAAAATTTTCAAAAAGAATTATATAAGCAAATAGCTTATAACAATTTTTGCGATCTTAGTCTTAAGATTGCATTTATAAGTGAAAACACCATAGGATATTTTTAAAAAAACAATAAAACTAAATCATGAAAAATTCAAAAATCCAGAGTCTACAAAATGAAATGTGGATAAAGCACCAAAATTTATGTCGGGCAAACTGGTATAACATTTAAGAAACGCAATGGATCAAGAAGAAAAAAACTAAATTTGTTGAGAACTGTGTAGATTAACAAAAAATTAAAAAAAAAATTAAATGTGTCTACAACGGTAATTAAGAATCTAGTACTACTTGTTTATATGAATAGTTTGTCCCACTTAAGAACTATACAAAATCTTTGTTTATGGTTCGATTTTGATATATTTTTTTTGTTGGATAGTTCTCTGAAAAATGCCCTAAAACCTTATTTTGTTTAATGCTTCAACTTGAAGTCACGGCCAGTAGAGACTATTTAACAAAAGAAAGCGAAGAGAGAAGTACTATTAGCGATTAAAAAAAATCAATTGGCAACGAATTGTTATTGAGGAGTACTTAGAACCCAACTAGACCAATTTTTATAATATTTTAATACAGGGTGTTTGAAATATCGTTTGGGCCCCGCTTAAGACTGTACATCTTTATATGGTTTGATTTTGAATTTTTTTTTATTGGATATATCTCTCCAAAAACGCACTAAAACCTGTCATGGCTAACTGGGACTAATTTTTGATGTCAAATATCGAGAAAGGCTATTAGGGGTTTCTTTAAGAATGAAGTGTCAACGAATTCTTATTCAGGGCTACGTAAAACCTAACTACACTAATTTCCATGAAATTCAAATACAGGGTGCTCGAAATATCGCGGTCGCCCCGCTTATGCATTACTTCTGTAGAATTTTTGTTTATGGCTCCATTTTCATAATTCTTTTTTGCTGAATAGATCTTACGAAAGAGAAATGAAACCGTTTTTTCGTACAGCATCGACTAAAGTTATGGCTTACTAGGTGTTCAGGGCTACCTAAAAGCAACTAGACCAATGACCAAAGTTTTTAATGTTTTAAAAAACTAAATATTGTAAAACTAAGGAACATTTAGTTTTTAGTATCATCTTTAAACGTCAATAAATTTTGATATTTCTGTTATTTTCATTATTAGATGAGAATTAAAAGTCCTTTTTAATTAAAATAATATAGCAAGTCTGTTGATGTAAAAATAAACAAAAAATTATCAAAATCAAATCCTAATCAAAGATTTTACAACCATGTACAGCCTTAAGCGGGGCTCAAACGATATTTCAAACTCCCCGTATTGAAGTTGATATAGTTGGGTTCTAAGTACCCCTGAATAAGAATTCGTTGCCAATTTATTTATTTTTAAATCCCTAATAGTACTTCTCTCTCTTTTGTTAAAAAAGTTAATGGAATAAGGAGATTAAGGTTTTAGTGTATCTACCTATCCTATCCATTTTTTTTTTATCAAAATCGGACCATAAACAAAGATTTTACAAGGATATACAGTTCTTAAATGAGACACACTGTAGGATAATCTGTGTATTTGAAGTTATGAAGAAATTATTTTTGTTTCGTTTCAACAAGTGATCTGTGCTAGAGTGGTTAGAAACATGAAGCAATTCAAAAAACTCGGAAAATTTCCTACGACAACTTAATTTTATTTGTCACAAAAAAAGTTATCAAACAATTGTATATTTTACAATTCCAAAAATTCGTTTTGTCCGCTTTAATTCGTTATCATGACGCAAATTGCAATTTAAATGCAAAAAAAGTTTTTTCTACTCCCTACTTTAAAATACCTAAGACATTACTCACTGTTTTTTCCGTAGATATTACTCACGGCTTGAATTTTGGCATTTGTCAGTTCTGACAGCCATATCATATGTCACTCAGTGAATGTATTACTGCTGTTTTGCAAAAATATCCCTAAAAAACTAATAGTCGTAGAAAACCCATAATATGCAAAATGTTAAACTTCATGAGACACTCGTGACCAAAGTGTCGTTAGTCAAACCGGTTGCATAATAAACTATTTTTGAAAACAACAATTTGTTTTTAAAATTGGAACGCATTTATTCGTTGAAAACTTTATACTTTTTTGTTAATCGGGACTGAATTTTTTATGCGTAATAGATACAATCCTACGCCCCATAAACACACAACACAAATAATTGTGCGGCTTAATGTTTAACTTTAAATATCTCAAAAAATAAGTAAATATTCCTTATTTACATGTAAGTGGCATTTGAGAATCAAAAAATTGTACTAAAATGACAATTCCGCCAATGACGTAGAATTTCGGCAGGATCGACCAACCACTTGCCTCCGTCGTGCGCAAGGAATGTTTGTTTAGCGTTATCTAGTAAGGAACCTACATCTCCCGCCAAATATAACAAGGATGCGTCAAATTGTTTTGAAGTACTGTTTGGGCAAAAATATTGTTTAAATAAAACACCCTGTAAATGAGTAATGAGTCGCTTTTTATCTAAATGATTTTGGTTAAATGTTTAGTTCAGGATTCTAGCGTCTAAATATATTTCCAATTATATGGATCGCCCTATATATGAACAATCTGTTTAACTTATAGTCCATTAACATACAATAACAAAGACAACATATAACCACCGGCTAGGAGTTTTAAACTATAAAAAAATCTAGCATTATACGGTAAAATTGTTAAACTTGAGTATATTATAAGGTTTTTGTCCAGAATCGAACAAACTTCCGCGCATGCGCATAAGCTTGGCAACTTTGATCACCTGATTTCGTATCCCGAAAGACATCAGAGCATAAGGATTTGTATCTAAACGTTAAATATGTGTATTTTAAAAGAGTTATTACATTAGAAAAAATATTTTGGAGAAACTAAAACTTGAACTTTTGACACTCTGGATCCTCACTTTTATATACAGCACCAAAAAATTGCACATTTTCCGTTAATCGGGATGTTCTATTACACAATAAATGAAATGAAAATGAAAAAAATAAAATTCTGTAACAGACCAAGGTTTAATACTTTTTTTCAAAGTATGCAAGTGGAGAAAAATATACAGGGTTAATCACGGAGAGTGTCCTATTAGACGTCTATGGAGAATGACTTACGTTAAAAACCTGAAATGTTGCTTACTTATATATGAGCTACCTATGTAAATTATTTTTGGACATGCGGTGTTGCCAGATATACTCGTAAAGTATATCAATTTTCGCTTTTTAAGTGGAACACTCTATATATTATATTTGCGAAACATTCTGGAACTTTTTTATGTAACATGTCCCATACCTATCTTGAACATTTTCGGATATAAAAAATACTTTTTAAAGAAATTTGGCAACAAATAACCCGATATAAAATAATAATTTTTTTCGCAACCCGTGCAGATAAACACTTGAATTTTTGGGTGTGGTTCCCTATTAAACTATTTTATCATAATATAGTATGAGAATCAACTTATCGCGTATGAGATAAGGCCATTAAAGAAACCTACGAAGAAGGGGGGAAATGCCAAAACCTGTTACAAACTCAGAAGAAAATGAAACCACTGTTTTAGCATATTTTCACGCATTTCCACATGCGTCCATTCCAAGCGCTAAAAATGATTTAGGAATATCTTATTCGTTCATTCAACAGATAACGAAGAAGCATAACATGCATAATTACAAAATAATTACATAGCAATATTTTCTTTTTTGTGAGATGATATTGGTTAGAATACAAGATAATCGAGATTTTTAACAGAAGAAATAGTCATTTTTGGTCATCAAAAAATCCAAAATTTATGCGAGCGATTTCAACATACATTTAGTTTCAACGTGTTTTGTTGGATGAGATGAATAATATAATATATTTTTATATCTACAATGAGAATTTGAAAGAGAAAAAATATCTGGATTTTTACGAACAGTAGTTACAGATTTTTTAGACAATTTGCCATTGGTGTGACATCGCAGATGTTAGTACCAACTTGCACGGCTTATTGGACAAAAAGAATAAGTCAAGAATTTACATCTTTGAAAACCGATGACTAAGGCGTCTAGGTTGATGGAATTGGCCACCGCGTTCGCCAGATATTACACAGGTTGATGCCTACCTTCGGGGCCCTATTAAAGAAAGAGTCTATACAACTCCAGTTCGAACAGTAGAATATTTGTAATGCCGTGTCAGACAGGCCTTTTCAAAGGGCAATAGTTTCCAATGCTATGAAGTCATGGATGTCTTAGAGCAAATGGAGCATTTCAAGCATAATATCTGGTTGTATGTAATTAAAAACAATTTAAAACTGTTTATTAGTCTGTAACATTAGTTTTGTGTATAGCAAATTCTATGAATATTTTTGTTGGCATATGTATTTCCTTCCAGTTGCACTTTTACAATTACTCATTTGAACACGCTAAGAACGGAATATTAAGCTTATTTATGGCAAAGACAAATTTGTTTACAAAAACGTCACCATGACCGGTCAGATAGTGCTACCCAGGTGAAATGTGATTAATTCGCTCTAATTGAAATATTTTGGTTTTTTGCTTATAACTCGAAAACCAGTGAAAATAGATAATAGGTATCATAGATTGGTTAAGGCTTTCGCGGCCCGTTGATAAGCTATTATCTTCATTCGGGTTTAAAGGCCGTCGTCGGAGATGGAAGGACCTCTGAAGAAGCTCGCCACTCGTGCTAGCGAAACGTTAGGAAGTAATTCCAATCGACGACGGCCTTTAAACCCGAATGAAGATAATAGCTTAGGTATCATAGGTTGGATCTTTTAGATGGCATTTAAAATTCCCAGCTAACATGCCAATTAGGCCTGATCTTATGAACGCCCTGCACGCGATTAGTTAATTGTTATAGGTACGATATTATGATAAAAAAATGTAATAGGGAACCGTAACCAAAAATTCAAGTCTTTAGCTGTACGGGTTGCCAAAAAAAAAATTATATCGGCTTGTTGTTGACCGTAAGTCATTATCCATAAACGTCTAATAGGGCACTCATTGAAAATAAGCCTGTATATTTTTCTATTTGGTCAAAGAAAACATAAATGAAATATTCGTTCTTTAAGTAACCTGCTGCTCCATTTCTGCCATTTTTTTAAACTGACAACTTTTCAGGTTTCTTGTCCCTTAAAAAAATGAAAATTTTCTAAATAATTGCGCAGGTCTGACAAGTTCTTAACGGACAAAAAAATCGCAAGTAACGGAAGTTATACGTTTAATAGAAGTAAAGAAATATACACAATGTTGTATAGTGCCGACTAGGTGATCCGAATATTAATGATTGTATTATGCATTCAATATGCTTAGCTGCTAACAAAAAATCGGCGGGTTGTGAATATGTTTAGAACTTCAAAAGCGTACATGTCTGATAGGCCGTTGACACATTTTAACAGACAATGGTGAATTATAAACTTTACAACCCCATCTAATAAAGCAAACTCGTCAGAATTCAATGTGAAAAACTGGTATCACAGATTATGAAAAAAAAAATTGAACGTATAAAAATAATTCGAAAATATGTAAAAATATTCGCAGCTTACGTTTCCCATGTATAGAAGGTTCCATTTGTAAATCCGACAAATTTGTGACCTACATATGCAGCGGAAGGAAAAAGGATGGATTTAACTACACACCATGGCGACTGGGTCGTTTGCCATTTGCAAACAGAATGCGAACATCTTAAATTTTCTCTAAACACATTTGAACACATGGCTATATATTTTATCTTTGGTTCAATTCTAAGTTATATCTGGTTACTACCGATAAAGTCAAATAATTTTTCATATAAAAATGAAAGACAAAATTATTTTGAATAAAACAAACATATTGAAATGGCACATGTTTTAACTTAAGGACTATTCGTTTATCCTATATTATAGGAAAAGCTTGGTCGTTTTAATTTATCAAATAAAACATAAAAACCTCATTGATGCAATGTATACGATAAAGATGCATGGGAATCTCGGAAAAGTTATTTATTTTCAGAAATTCAAGGGCAACTTTTCTCTAATTTAATTGACCTTGTAGCTTAGGCATGATCACCGATTTCAAAAAGCTGACAATATTGAAAATAGCAGAAGATGGATTTTAAAATCACTGATTAAAAATTAACATTCAATTTGTCAGAAAAAAATAAAAACTTTTTTTTTATTTATGGAATTCTCAAAATTTCTAATGCACTTTAAACAGAAAAATAAGCAGCTTTCCTGTACCTTAACAGATTTCATAACTCTTGTCATTTTCAATATCTTCATGCCTCTTGATCTTGTATACAATAACAGTAATGAGATAAAGGTTTCAAATGAAAACTTTAAAAATCATCAGTGACCAACAGTGCCTTTCATTCCTAAAAATTTGAATTTTACTCTCCTTAAAAGAGTCAGCTAAAAAGTTCATTTCTTTTAGGGAAATGATTAAAAATATCTATTATCTATATGAGTTATGGAAATAGGTACATTTGAGATAAATAATATAAACATTTTGTAGAAACCTGAGATAAAAACAAAAAAAATGCTAATCGGAGTAGCCAGACTTAATTCTCTAAATGTAAAACTTAAAATCTAACAAGGATCTGAACATAAAACCTACATTATTATTGTGATATATCACCTCAGTTACAAATGAAACAAATACAGCACTATTTTACATTTACAATTTGTTTGACAAGTTATGTATTTATATGAAAATTCAATAAATTTCGGAAATGCATATTTACAATTGATTGGAAGTGAAAATATAGGAAAAATATAGGAAGAGTTATAAAATTACCATAATTAACAAACAAATTATCAATATAAAATGACTTAAACAATTAAAGACTGGAAAAGCTACCCACTTGCTTAAAATCCTTTTTCAGTTGTATCTAGTTTATCCCAGTCAAAGTCACTACCCCCTAAATGTTTGAATTTCTCCTCAAAGTCACTATCTTTCGATTTTAATTTTTCAAACCTGGCAAACAATAAATTTTTTGCAAAACTATACAGCTCTATATCTAAATCGTTAAGTTTCTTAACTTTTGATGCCTGTTCTGGTGTCAAATTCAACATTAAAGAGTTCGATAATGTGGCATTATTTTGTTCAAATGGTATGGTAAACCTTAAATTAAACGTTTCCTGAAAGATATACTGTGAAATTTTCTGATATTCTGTAAGCCCAAAAAATGCCATTGATTGCAAATTTTTTTTGGCACTGGCCAACATTATCCTGTCTCTTTCAACTTGGGTCATATAGGTCTTATCATAGCAACCAATCAGTTCTAAATCAGCCAACATTCTAGTTTGACGATTCTTAGCTAAGTTGCTTTTACAATTTATAAAATCCTCTATTTCAACTCCTTCCCAATCTTCTCCTTCATAGCACGGGGGAATTTCATCAAAAGTGGCAGCTCTTCCTTTGCAAAAATGTCGAGAACCCTTCCAAGTGGCCCCCCTTTGCACATGTCGAAACTCAGACAAATATCTAGCAATAGGGTCTCTCAGCAAGGTAATATAAAAATACCTTCTTTTAACTACTCCTTCTAATTCATCTAATTTCTCATCCACGCAACCAGTAAGTTCAGTCCAGTCAGCATGTAAACCACACTTCCACCCTGTAGTATAACGGCTAAATAGCCAGCTTTGATTAGAGTGAGGTCTAAAGCAATAGCAACGCTTGCGAGCAATAGGACAACTGCAAGGCTGTTTGAGATCCAAATCATGTACTAAATGTTTTCCAAATGAAGTGCCACCGGTTTTCTGTATATGGAGAAAAACCATAACATCATGTGATTCCAAATCAAATATGAAATCTTCATTTAACATATCATCATAGCTTAGTCCTTTTTTTCCATCTGATACCGTTAATGGCTTTCCTATCCTGTCATTCTTAAAAATGGAGATATCTCTGGAAGATAGGGCACATACCTTTTCCTTACAAAAATAACCAAACCCAAATATACCAAATAAACAAAGGGCAAGACATAAAAGACAAACTTGTTTTAACCTAGACCATTTGGTTTCCATTTGTTTAATATCATAACCATTGGAAAGAAGCAGTTCTATATCACTGTCAAACACTTGAACGGATACGTTTTTGGAATTCATATCCCATCTGTAACTATAAACAAATAACTTTCGGAACACAAACGTAGTTGGAACCGCAGATATTTCAGGACGAGGCACATACTTCGATGGTACAACTGCAACACACGATTCATTAGCAAAAACATGCAACAGATGTTTACGATTTAACTGACTTGAATAATTGATTTTATAATTTATTCATGCTCATGTTTAGACTCAAATATGTGCCTAAATTGTTATTTTCTTATCTTTGACTCAGAAATATTTTGTTCTTTGGTATAGATAGACTACGGATATTTTTGATCAGTTACGCAAGCGCTACGTTCGTAAGTTGGATGGACCTCAAGTGTGTGTGACGTACCACGGTCCGATTAATGCACACAATTCGTATTAATGACATTGATCTGCTTAATACTTTGAATACATTGTCTTATAATGTCCTGTGCATTAGGAGCAAAATAGTATTATCGAAAAGATAAATTATTTTACCCTTCTATATTATCTTCTTAATACATGAAACGGGATAAGTGATATCACAGTTCATGCCAATATAACGATGTTTCGTGATTTATAGTCCTTGAGGGTATTTTATACTTGACGAAAGCTTCCAAAAACAGAGAAGAAACTTTGAAATTATTCAGGAGCAAATAATTTTGGCTTTCGGATTATTTTTTATTTGACCTGAATTGGAGTTTTTCCTGAGGATGGTGATGGCCTCTCCATTTTTCAAGAAGAACCAATTTTTTATTCGGTGTCTGTTCTAACATTGCTATAAATAGCTCTAGTCTGTGATGTGTGTGTCTGACCGGTGTCGTCTGTCAAAAATATAACAAAAAGAGAAAAAATATACACCGTGGCAAAGGATTAAATGGGATTAAAGTGTTTGGTATGGGTTTTGTCTTTCAAAGATTCATATAATAATAAAGTTGAAACGTGTCCATGCCATTACCACGTCTTTCGCATTACGCTTTAGATTGGTTCCGAGATTGGTACCTGCTATTCGGTTTAAATTTGTCAAGAATATTGCAGTAGGATATTTATTATAAACGTAAGAATATAGTGCATTGCATATTTTGCAGGTCAAATTATCTTATTTTTCTTTTCATAGTTATTAAGTTAATAATTTTTGTTTTAGGCCAAAAATGGTTGTAAAAAATATTTGTTGTCTTGGGGCTGGGTATGTGGGAGGCCCCACTTGTAGTGTCATAGCATTAAAATGTCCAGAAATTAAAGTAACAGTGGTTGATTTAAGTAAAGAAAGAATTAGCCAGTGGAATTCAGATAAACTGCCAATTTATGAGGTAAAACATTTGTGTCTAACTACTAGATTAAAGGGATTAAGATAGTCACATTATTCCTTGAAATTTCTTGCAAGATCCTCAATTCCAGTAAAAATTTTATTGTAAATTTTATATAACTCTCTTCTATTTGCTTGGTCATAGATTTTTTTCATTTGTAGCCTGGGTTAGATGAGGTGGTAAAAGCCTGCAGGGGAAAAAACTTATTTTTCTCCAATGATATAAACAACAGCATTTTGGAGGCCGACTTAATATTCATTTCAGTAAATACACCGACAAAGACTTTTGGAAATGGAAAGGTAATTATTATTCAGTCTTCATCTTTGCTAATAATTTCTTAATTTTAAAGATGTTTTGCCTTGACATATTTGGTTTGTTTGAATATTCCTATTGGTGTTGACTTTGGTTGTGCTTTTATATAAGAAATGATTAATTTAGGCAATTTTTTAATATATGCATGAACAAACTTATGTAATGTTAATAAGACTTTTGAAGGTATATTTTTATGCTGTATTATACAGAGTGTTTCATTGGTAGTGAGGCGGTAAAACAAATCTTATTTGAAATGTTTCTACTTTACTATTATTCTGGTGTTGTCTACTTGTAAGATTATAATGTAACAATATTAAATTTTACATGACATTATAAATAGTTAAAAATAGAAAATAGTTGAGTGAGATTTCTTATTTATCTATGCTTTTGAATTCATAAAAATATTGGCAATATCCAGCACTGGCAACATGGTCTCAGGCCGTCAAGATATTCATATCATGTTAAAATAAAAGCAATGCTATCTCCCTTGATTATATACCTATGTGGAATAATAAACAAGTGTTCATAATTCTGGTTATTTTCCTTAAACAACTTGCTGCACCCTTTATATAGTTTTTGCATTTTCAATTATCTTTAGGGTAGGGCGCCCGATTTGAAGTATGTCGAGGGGGCGGCTCGCCTGATAGCAAACATAGCAAGGAGTAACAAAATCGTTGTGGAGAAAAGCACCGTTCCCGTAAACGCCGCCGAGAGCATCATGAAAATTCTGAAAGCCAATCAAAGGTCCGGTGTATCTTATCAAATTTTGTCCAATCCAGAATTTTTAGCAGAAGGTGAATATGTATACCCTTAGAATTTCTAGTTGTAGGTATAAAAATCGCTATCACTTCCATTTTAACGTGTCGGATGCGTTTCAGGCACCGCCATTAATGACTTGTTAAACGCTGATCGCGTGTTGATTGGGGGAGAAGAAACCCCAGGTGGCGAGGCAGCCATTGAAGAGCTATGCGCAATTTATGAACACTGGATACCGAGAAAAAATATTTTAACTACCAACACTTGGTCCAGTGAACTGTCCAAATTGGTGAGTTAATTGGATTAGTTTTTGAGTTTGAATGAAGCTAACAATTTCATTGGGCTGCATATTTACCAATGCTTCTAATAATTAAATAAACCAACCAACGTTCTAATACAAATACAATTGATTATGTCATTCCAGCATATAGCACAGAAAGATTGTCTGTCAACTTCTGCTTTATTGAAAAAAAAATCTATTGGAATTATTGATTGATATCAAACTTTTTAGCATGTTTTTTCCAGGATCGTTTTTTCTTAATCTATAGTTTAAGATTTGACCATTCTTAATATTTTATTTTAATAACCTGCTTAAAATAACTTTTTAGATTTGTGCAAATTGGGGAAAGGGATTCAAATTCCCATGATAGGTAACATATTCAAGAATATGGGCCGAAATTACACTGTTGTATATAAAATATCATTGTTGAATAATGTTTTTTTTTTAATTGTAAAAATTAAATAGGCGTTATGTGCTAAAAGTAAAAAAATAGTGATTTGTTTTTTTCATATAACTATTAGATAATATAGTAACCCTACTACTGTAAAAATTAATGCGCTGCAGGCGGTATTAATGTTTTCGTAAAGAAGGTAAAGATTTTTTGCACATGTCTACTAACCTGTACTTTGCATCATTTTTTTTTTTGAAACTTACTCGATTTGTCAAAACATTTAACGAGACATATTGGTTGTTGAATGCCGCAAGCTCGTTGGTTAAATACTAGCCTTTAAATCGCGCGCATGCGCATGTTGAACGGACCTCAAATTTTTGTTCATATTTCTCGTTTTTTTTTTAGATAAAATTTTAAACTCATCATTTTCTTACAGAACTTACTGTTTTTTTTATAAGATATTTAACAACTTCATGTAATGTTAAGATCTGTACTAAGTCTGATTATTGTGGAAATGACATTTGCAGACAGTATGCGGTCAGTAAATGTCATTTTTGATAGAATTTTTTTTTATATCTCTATGTGTCTAGAGAATCAGTAATATACAGGGAGTAAATTATCCTACATAGAGTAACAGGTGATACTATAAATCAAATCAAGATTTCTTCAATGTCAAATGTCGTTAAAAATTTACATGGTGTTTCGATAATTAAGCACCATTTTCATCCCGATGTATATTATTCACCACTAATATAACAAAAAACATCTCATCTGATTTTCCCTTGGAAAAATTGAAATTGAAAATTTATTTATTTATTCATTTTACATTATACTGTCACTTCTTTGCGACTTATTATATGTTTATATTTTATCTACATACGCGTTATCATATTATTATACCACTGGTTATCAAGGATATATAGTATTAGTTTTATTTTCATTTATATTTAACTTTCGCCTTAAAAAAATTTATTTTTGTTTTTTTTTTTTTAACTGCTTTTATTATTGCCTTCTTTTTTACAGGCAGCGAACGCGATGCTAGCCCAAAGAATATCCAGTATTAATTCTCTATCCGCCATATGTGAGTCGACTGGCGCTGACGTTGCGGAGGTGGCTAGGGCCGTGGGTCTGGATTCACGTATAGGACCCAAATTTTTGCAGGCTTCTATAGGTAGCTACTATATGTTTGACTGTTTAGAATTTTTCCTCCACCATTAACATAACTTTTGCCCGCGTGTGTGTCTTATATTAGCAAAATAATAACAATAATACCAATAACCAAGTCTCCCCTTTGCTCCCCCAAGTTCATTTGGCTAGAAAATGGAGTTTGTTCGTCTGTCGCTTCCCAGATAGAAACGTGTGAGCGTCATTATTGTTATTATTGGAGCGAAATGTATTAAATGTATTTATTTTTCTTATTATGGGATTCGGTGGGAGCTGTTTCCAAAAGGACATCCTTAACCTGGTATATATCTGCGAGTCCCTCAATTTACCGGAGGTATGCATTAATGTGATACTTTTACTTGCAAAGAAGTAAGCAAGATTTTATTCTCAGAAAGTGGCTTGCTCGCTTGCTTGCTTATCTGCATGATGACAATTTGTTTGGCAAAATATACTTTTGTGAAGCCCTTGAAATATTTGTAAGGTCTTCTTCTATTTTTCAAAGATATTGCCACAGGCTTCTGTAATCCTATTTACAAATCTTCTGGATTTCTTCTGCATTGGTTGTTTATAAAATAAATATAAAGCTTTTCTCACCAAAATTTAACCCTAAATTAGTTTTACAAAAAAAATATCAGGATTTAACAATTTTTAGGAAATATGTACCAGAATTGCTGTGCATTTTTAATTATTTCAACGTTTTTTTTATTGTTTAGGTTTTTTTTCGAATTCCTTTTTTTTCACACCTAATGACGTAGTTTTTTCATAACAATCATTCTCTATTATATTAACAGAAAGTCACTAGTCCAATTCTGGTACTTATATTATACAAGAAAATCTGAGAAAAGGTCTGATGATGATAACATGTCGGTTTGAGAGTTTTTCTGGTTTGGCATATTCTATTAATAAGTATCAAATCTTTTTTTTTTTTTTTGTTATTATTGTTTCATAGTGCAAAATTCTGTCGCTTACAAGCAAAATCCCTAGGCAATTAACATAGCAAACTCACGATTTTAAACGTCGTTTTGTGCGACCTAGGTGGGCGCTTACTGGCAACAGGTGATTGACATGAACGAATATCAAAAGAAGCGATTTACATCGAAAGTTATCGAATCGCTCTTCAACACCGTTAGCGGCAAAAAAATATGCATTATGGGGTTCGCGTTTAAGAAAAATACGGGCGACACGAGGGAGAGTCCCGCCATTTACGTTGCCAAGACGATGCTTGACGAAGGAGCGAGCATAAATATTTACGATCCCAAGGTATAAAACTCTATAGGGCAAACGGTTGACAAATTTATCTCGATTTAGGTAGAAGAAACTCAAATATACGAAGATTTGACCCATCCTTTAATCAGCGAATCTCCGGAACACGTGAGGAAACACGTGACCGTGTTTAAAGATGCTTACAGCGCCACCAACGGGTGCCACGCCATCGTACTGTGCACCGAATGGGATGAGTTTATTGTAAGGCTGTTTAGGTCATATAGCTGGTAGATATTCAGGGTATTTTAAAATGTACCAAGATTTTAGGTACAGTTTTACAACGCAATAAGAACTCTGGCGGAAAAACAGTTAACCTACTTTATAATACTACCATAGTATCGTTTGGAACAGGTGCAATATTAGGGTATTTTACTGATAATTCGTTTGGTTTCGTTGCGATTCAGTGGGGTTATAAATCTGTCAACATTGATGGATTACGTTTGCCGTTTAAGTAATTTTAAAGGTCTACTAGTACAGGCTCACATTTTTGAACTAGGTAGAGCAAAATCGACGTACATGTCAAAAATGCCCCATATTTCTGCCTTTTTTAATACAGTTATCAACAAATCTATATGGCCGAAAGGGGCTCATCACGGGATTTTTTTAGGACCATAGCCAACTTGTTTTGCTGTGTAAAATAAGACGGTTGTATTCAAAATATATAGCAGAAAAAGTATGTAAAAAAAAACGAAAAGCCCTGGCCAGTTGTTCTTGGGACTGTTTTTCCTTTTATTTTATTTTTTTACTTTTATATTTTTTATTTTATTGTTCTTGTCCCATTATAAAAACTGTTAATGGACCCACAAATATTAGGTGCCTTCTAAGCAATGTGAAATCTTAATTTCCGCCAGCAGCCCTTGGAGAATAGATTCGAGAATGTTTCGTAGTCGCCCATTTTAATGTAAAGAAAAAAGGAAAATTGCCAGACATTAAAATAATACTAGTTGTTGGTAATGACTATTTGAAAGGAAAACAAAGAGTCAAAATGAAAATAGAAACCTTCATTTTCATTACTTCGCGGAAAATTGTAAATATCCTTTGCCTTTAATTTTTTTTATTTAATCGAGGCTAAAAGATTTCTAAGCAAAACCCAAAATTCATTTCGTATTTTCGCATTGACCCCTAAAAAATATCTGTACATCCTTAAATGTTTGTTTAAATGCCTCTAAAACTGTGATAAAGAAAAAAAAAGTGCTTTAACTAAACAAATTGACTCCGTGGTCTTATTTTTTTGTGAAAGACGTCGCTCTAAAATCTTGATACTGATTTTTGAAACATTCTATATAGAGCACTTATCTATACCATATACCTTTTCGAACCAACATCAAAAATATTCGCGCTCTATTTCAAACCTCACGTTCCATAAAATTTTCATCAAAAAAGCAAGTTAAGTGTGTGGATCGTTAAAAAAAAATAAGGGCAGGCTAGTACGTGAAATTTGTGCGCACGCGCAAATATCATCCCACCTGTACCGAAATGTCATAGCCTCTAGGTTATCTACTAGCTATATCGTATCAGATGAGACGACAATACTTAGGCATATGTCTTGCAGACGTTAGATTACGAAAAAATCTACGACCAAATGATGAAACCGGCATATATGTTTGATGGAAGGAAAATCTTAGACCACGAGAATCTGCTTCGCATAGGATTTAACGTCGAGACTATTGGAAAGCGGTTAGGCAGACCTTTTGTGAGGAGGAGATGGAGTAGCAACCCCGCCGTATTGTAATGCATCCTATGTCTTACCCGTTCCTTATTATTCCATTTATTATTCCTTTATAAGTATTATTTTTTAGTATTTTACTTATTTTATTAAGACTTGAGGCCCCAAGTAATTGTTTCTTGTATAGTGCTTATTTTTATATACATATTGCAATTTCCTAAAATGGTGTTCTTTACGGATATATTTGGAATTATAAGATGCCATATATTTCCAGTATAAATGCCGACAAATATACCGTTTTGTTGTTGTTCATTGCATTTTCATTCAAAACTCCTTTTATTCAGTTTATTTTATTGACGGCTGTACAGCACAAAATTATTTGCCGATATTTTCTTGACAACGAGAATAATTGTTTTTGCTACCGAAGCAAAAATGATTTTTGAAAAATAGTTTGCTTTTTTTTGTATTCATATAATGCTTTTTCTTTATAAATATATAAAAATAGAAGACAACCTTAATAGATATATTTCCACTCCCAAATAAAATGACCCTAATAGCCTTCCGCCCATTTTGATTAAATTTGGATTTTTACATGGTAAACGTTATTTTTCCTAGTATGCCACAAAATAATGAAAAGTGAAGTAAAGCAATATTGCGAAATGGTTCATAAAATTTTGTGCTATTGTGTAATAATATGAAATAAAAACGTATTATGGGTAAATCGTTAATAAAAGGTTCGATTTTTATTCAGCAGTATTTATTAGCATAAAAAAAAACATTTACAAAATCTATCAATGCCTTACATAAGAAAAATACCGGCATTTACAAGATTCTTGATAACTACAAAATAATCAGTCTAATAAATCGAGATGGCTCGAACAAAATAATAAGAGTCGTAAAACTTTACTTGTCAGAAATGTGTTCGACTGGAATCGCTTTTTCTTGCTGAATTTCGGGATTCTGCTTGGGCGCTGTAACAGTGAGAATTCCGTCCTCGGACAAACTAGAGACCACTTCCTTTAAATTATGCCCTTTGGGTAGCACGAATCTTCTCACGAAGTGTCTCGAAATAAAACCGTGGTCGTCTTTTTTCTCCTCGTGTTTCGCTTCGATTTCTATGACGTTGTCGTTCACAGTTTTCACTTTTATCTCGTCCGGCTTAAAATTTTCAACGTCTAACCTGACTTGGAACTTTTGTTTGTCTTGAGTTACGGCCAAATCCGACGACTGATCCGGATATTTTAAGGCATACCTTGGTCTATTGGCCCAAATTGCTGATGATGGTCGAAACAACTCGTCTTCTATCATTCGCATTTGATTTTCCATCATCCTGAGAGGTCGCATCATATCACGCACCAAAATCGGTATAAAAGACATTTTGTGGTAATTTTCTGTTTATCGCACTAATCGAAAAACTCGAAACAATTTGAAAATCGCCGCTGCCTGATGCGCTTATATATGAGCGGATGAATTCGTTCTACGCATGCCTAGAAAACGACGGAATTTACGAGAATCGACGAATCCAGAACGTTTATAAACGTATAGATACCGTTTGTCTCTGATTGGGATTCTATTTTCTTCTAGTTTTGTTTGTATAGGTTTGTATGTGGTATTGGCGTAGAATCATTATTTCTGAAGAATTTATTTGTTACGTCGTTTTATCAAAAGGTTCAATTTTTTTGTTGAACACAATTTTTTTGCAACCCGTGCCATTTATTCAGTTTTATTTTGTGTATGGTTTTTTCAATATCTACCTCTAAATCAGAAACTAATCAAAATTTTAGATAATTTTATGAACATTTAAAATTTATATTACGATATTATGAGCTTTCTTCCTAGTTATTACAGATTAAAGACAATCCATGCTCTTGCATTATTGGTCGCCTATTCAGTGGGTGGAGAGAACAACTTGAATAATATATTTTGTGCAAATTACAAAATTAAAACGAAATTATAAATTACAAGAAAACTGAAAAAAGGTGAAATTAAATAGAAAATCTCATATTTGGAATACGGATGGTATTCGCACGTTGATGGTTCTACAATGAATTTGTCAGTCGAAACTTACCACATTCGTATTCTGTTTCCCAATTGTGCGAGAGGAGTATTTTTTCTCTCTGTTCCGTGCTTCAATGTGAATGATTAGAATGCTAGTTGAAAGTGCACAATTTCTTCATATTATTTAATAAGTAATAACATCGACGGGAGTGATTAATATAAGTTTATTATTATTAATATATAACTTATTGCGGAGTGTTTTCTGTGTTTTTGTTATAGATCGGGATTAGTGTTTCCTAAATTTCCAAGGATTTAATTTCCTTTCTAGGTAGGTCTAAATTGACAAGATGGCGAACGTCACAAATTGGTAAAGATAATGCATTTTAAAAATGTTTATTTTATTAGCATCTCATATGCAATAATTTTTAAAATATTTCGATTATTTTCGGATTTAAGCTAAATTGTATGTAGATTAATTAGCGTAAATATTCAGTTTTCAGGATGACGGATGAAACAGATGTGTCCCAAATTCCACCACCACCAGGAACGGAACCTTCGGCTCCTCCACCACCACCTCCTCTTCCCGAAAGTAAACCTCCTCCTCCTCCACCTGAACAAAACTCTCATCAGCTGGAGCAGAACAATTGGTTGCCATATTATATGGCGAATGGTTTTAATTTTAGCCATCCTTACAGCAGTTATGCTCAGCAGCAGTATTGGTATTCAGCATATCCGTACATGAGTGGAAAAGATTTATCAAAAATTCAACCTCCACTACCTGCTCCCCCATTACCTCAAAATAATAATACACCCAGAGCTCCTATGCAGTTTTCTAGTAAACCAATAAGGTTTCAGTTGAATGGCAAAAGATTGCCAAATCCTAGTGCTATGGTGACTGGCTCCCCCAATAGTGGGGCAGCGAAGAAAAAACGCAAGAGGAATCGTAACAATCAAATGCAAAATCACATCTTTAATAATGCACCACCATTACCTCCAAGTGATTTCAATATGCCCAAGCCAGAACCTCCACCTGAAACTATGCCCCCTTTACCACCACACCCTTCTAACAATGAACCCCTTCTTCCAAGTTTGCCATTGGGAAAAAACCAACAAGTAGTTAACAAACCAGTTCAGCAACATTTAAATGGAGGCAATCCTACGGAGGATTGGCCCCAGAGTTTGAAAGATTATGTGCATAACTGTTACTCAAAGTGTAAAACCACAATAGATAAAAATCAGGTGGAGATTATTCTGAAGGGTAAAATCACTGCTGCTTATCAGTCAGGTCAACTGCACAAGGATTGGTCAAAAGAGCCTCTGCCCAACATTTATTCTGACAGCAAACAGGAAAAAACTGTGCAACAGGGGGGGAAGTTTACGGGACAGGTGAAAACTGTGGTTGGCCAATTGGCCCAGTTCCAAAATTCACACAAAAAGGGCTTATCCCCGGCGATGGGGGCGAGGTTGGGAGCCAGGGCTTCTTTGAGGGGACGAAACGCTTCTAATTCTAGGTCTAGGTCAAGGAGTCCAAGGAAACAGTCTGGCAGTAGGAGTCCACCGAAAAGGCATCGCGCAACTAGGTATAGTTTTTTGACACCACTTTTTTGCATTTACTTCATTTTTGATTATCTGTGCCAGTTTATAGTTAATAATAAAAAGAAATCCAGGTGAGGTTTTTTAAAAATGATTGGAAAATGAAATTTAAAATCATAAATTAAAAAAGCAATGTGTAATAATTATTATTTATTCTACCATCTGACTATTTACATAAGCTTTTATAATTTACGTACACAAACTATGAACTATGCACAAACATTGTAAGTCTTTTAGGCAAGGCGTATTTTTCATATTATCCGGCAGTTCAATAAAATAACCCCAATTGTAGAGTTGTTGGTTGGTGATTGTGCAAAATTTCATAATTCCAAATTGATTGTGCTCTTCTAATGAACTAATACCTTAGCTAAAATTAAAAGCCCCAATGTAATTACAAAACATAACCGTGGATCTAAGATCACTTGTAAATATTTAATTTCAAAAACAAACTCAATTTTATCATCCTGTACATGTGTACCGAATACCCAAAGTTATCGATTTTTAACTTTAGAACCAATAACAATGCGTTTGGTTTTTGAGGTTTAGTTTATTTTGCTACTGTCATTTATACAAATGCTGCATTGCTATATTCAGTTTGGTAGCTATTTCTTTGCAATTAATGTGAACCCAAATTTACTAGTTTTGATTACATTTGGATTAGTGAGGAGCAGAAGACACTAGTTTCTTCGCATTTTTTATAGCTAAACGATTAAACTTAACAGTTCCAGCTCATCTGAAGAAAACGGATTTGTGCCGTTAAAATCGAAAAAGAGCAAGTTGGCGAATCGTCTGGGTCCTCAGAAAAAGAACAACAAATCAAAGAAGAACAAAGCCAAAGAGAAAAAGGCGCCCTTCTACCAAAGTTTCGGCCAAGACGTTGAAGAGAACAAGGAACTGCTGGAGCAACGGGCCGCCAGATTCAACAATGGCCCAAGGTAAGCAAGTTACCATCCCTTACAGCCTTAATAGTTGTTAGCCAAGACAAAATTACATTCTGTATGCACATTTCAATTTTCAGCCATTTCTATTTCATTTTATTAAGAACAACAAGTTTAGGCTGTTTAGTTTGTAGAGTAAACGAAATACATTGATTGGTTCAACTTTTATCCCCTTCATCTCTTACATTCTATCGTCAAAAAGAGTGAGGATGTGGATAGTTTTACATTCATATTTTGGACATCTTTCTCTCTCTCTCTCTCTCTCTCTCTCTTTTTTTTATATTACTCGCTAGTTTTTAGATATTAAGTGACTTAATCTTCTTTAGGTATAAAATAGATGTATAGATGTTCGTCCACATTGCGCTTACTGACATTTTCGGGTTTCTTTTAGAACTAGTAACGTAAGTCCAACCGACCGCTCAATGATTGAACATCTTTTGTCCACGTCGCAAGACGATTCGAATCCGGGCGACTTCGACTGGTCGGGTGTTCACATAGTTGGCACGTGCCAAGATATAGAAAAGTCGTTTTTGCGCCTCACGAAAGCGCCAGAGGCGTGTGACATCCGTCCTGTCGAGGTTTTGCGCAAATCCCTCGTTAACGTTAAAGACAAGTGGCTCGCGAAACAAGACTATTTCTATGCATGCGATCAGCTGAAGAGCATTCGTCAGGATCTTACTGTGAGTATGGGGCTGTTTTGTTCTCGACCGCGCGCTAATTTCATCCATTTTAAGGTCCAAGGTGTGAGAAACGAGTTCACGATTCAGGTGTACGAAACTCACGCGCGGATCGCCCTAGAAAAGGGCGACCACGAGGAGTTTAATCAGTGTCAGACTCAGTTGAAAGCATTGTATTCCGATGTAGGCGGCGATAATAGGAACGAATTCGTCGCCTACAGGATACTGTATTACATCTTCACAAAGAACACCTTGGGTGAGTATCTTTTCATGACACTAAACCACATGAAAGATGACAGGTCTGGTAATATTAGTGTTCTAGGTTGCTCAGGTTGGCATATCCTGTAGTAATGGTGATTGTTGTCTTTTTTATTTTAATGCTCTTATTGGTATTATTCACTTATTATTTGATGATGAAAAACTATTTTTTAGTAAGTGATATGCTTGGAACTTCAAAATATTAAGTATTTCTAAAGTTGAAAAAAAAAAAAAGATTAGAGGAGTATTATTTCAAAAAAGGCTTCTAAAATACATATATTTACCTAAATATTTACTTTTTTTTTTTAATCTGTCAACATCATTCATAATTATAAGGGGTCAAAGAGACTGTTTTTTCGCAATTTCTCTTATTTATTTAGAATAAGCCACTAAAAGTACAACTTTATAATTAATTACTGCACAAAAATTGACACTAAAGACAAAGATGATAGTCACTATCAGTCTACCGCTACTTAAATGTTCAAAAAGCGAAATAAAGTTTTATTTGGACTAGCCGGTACAAAGGCTGGAATAATTAAGAGCGTATTTTGCAATGCGGCAATCGAATATATAGGGCTTTTGATATCAGCGAGGCGTTATCTTCGCTTAGCTTTGGGCTTCGTCTGTAGTTCGGGGTATATAACTCGCGGAAGAATTTTTACACAAGCCGTTTTTTTATATAAACTTTTTTTTTTCTTTTTTTTATATATTCATGATCAGGGTTGGGCTGATTTTAATGAACTGATTTAAATCACTATTAAAATCATGATTTAAATTAAACTCCCTTTTTTTTAATAAGCACAACATACGAATATTATTACAAATAAAAATAAAACACAATTGTTTAAAAAAATAAAACTACTAATATAATAATATACATTTTATGCTTCTGCATTTTTGTTGTATGGTTTGAACAAAAATCCTGTTCCTTATATCTGAGTGTTATTGGTAGCTGTTTCGCAAGTTCTGGCTCATCCTTTTGTAATGTCCACCATTGTAATCCATTTACGTCTTTTTTTATTTTATCTGAAAACAATTTTTTTAAATAAGCAAATCTCGGACAGTTATTACTAATGGCAAAAGTTCAGTGTTTATATATAAATTACTAATTATTTTTAAAGCCATGCCTTAATTCTTTTGAAAACGTTTCTAAAGTTAAATAAAATTGAAATAAGCAATGATAAAATAAAATATTATTTACCTACCTGTGTTTGCTTCTTGCTGCTTATTATTACAAACATCGTGGTGTCTTTGAACTATCTATTGAATTTCCTTCTCACAGATTTTACAAATCGCTCTTCATCCAGACTTATTTGGATCTGTTGTCGTTCGAATGTGAACCTGACATGCTATTTTCTTTTCTTCCAACCATTTAAATGTTTTCACCTTTGACAAACCACCAACTCAATACGCGAGACGTATTTGACAACGACAATTTATAGATCAAGAAAAAAACAGGCCGCGACTTAAAATGTTCAAAATTCGGGAGAGCGTTTTTAAAAACATTTGTTTATACAGAAAGCAAAATAAAGTTTTATTCCAACTGGCCGATACAAAGGCTGGAATAATTAAGAGCGCATTTTACAGTATGACAATCGAATAAATAGGACTTTTGATGCGGTGTCAGCGATGCATTATCTTCGCTTAGCTTTGGGCTTCGTCTGCAGTTTGGGACATATAACTCGCGACAGAAATTTTCTTGCAAAAAGCTCGTTCTAACGAATACTTAGTGTGTATGTTGTACTATATTGTTTAGAGTGGCTCTAAAACATTTCGTAATTACTACAAAAACAATACATATTATGAAATTAAAAAAAAAAAAAATCAAAGTTGGTCCAACACTATATTATCATATCTTTTAGTGTAAATTTTAACATGCTGTAATTAGGTCACTACATGCGTCATTATTCACTGGTCTCCCAGAGCTGTAAATCCTCTAGATTGTCTAGATATGAATAATGACGAATAAAACTTCACGAAATTTAGGTCGCAATTGGAGTCACGGAATATATTGCTTATAGTGGCTTTTAAATATTTTGTAATTGCTACAAAAAAAAGGGTAATACGTATTGTTATGAAATTATAAAAATCAATTAAAATAAACAAAATCAATGATTTTTGGTTCAACACTGTTCATGTTTCATTCACTTTTGAGTTATATGTAGACTATTTACAAGAAGCGATTAACATTAAATTAACGTTTACCATTTTTCGTTTTAAGGCATGATGTTTACGTTAATGATGTTCTTTTAAGATGTCAAGATATAATGTGCCGCGACATCCGACATGGTTCTGGTCGTCGATCATGCAATGTAATGTTTTTTTTTGCAGACATAATGACGATAATGAAGTACCTCTCGCCGGAGGAAAAAGGCGATCCATGCATAGCGTTCGCGTTAAAAATGCGATCCGCGTGGGGTTCGGGCAATTTCCATCGGTTTTTTAGGATGTACGCCGGCGCCCCACTCATGACTGGCTTCTTAATTGACTGGTTCATTGAGCGGGAACGCAAGGCTTATTTAAAGTGTATTATCAAGAGGTACGTATCAAGCCTGTGCTGCATTATTTAGGTCCGGTCGCTCGTGCAAAACAAATTAGCGACTAAAGAGAAGTTTCTCAAAATTGTTGCCTATAATTAATCTATTTAATGACATTAAACACGACCACTCTTTAAAAGTCGTAAATACAAATACCCGGTCAGTAATTTCATAATTTCCAAAAATTAATAAAAATGATTAATTTTTGTTGCAGTGTTGTATTCTCATTTTTAGAATGATTTTAAAGCCTTTGGTAATATTCGGGTTATTTTAGTCCATTATATTCCACATATTTATGCTTGTTATCTTATTAAAAATTTAGACTTTGGATATATACACTTCAAGGTATTCCACCTACACATTCAATGACAAGGCAAATAAAAAAAACCGTTTTTTTTTTGTTTTTTAAAATGAATTAGATTATCCATGGCCGTAAGGATTTTTAAATTTGTTTTATTTTTTCTTTTACAATTTTATTCATATTGAGAATTTGAACAGGATTTGGCGATTTAAATGAAGGTCTTCCAGTTTGAGATTTTTTACAAAAATAAATTTCTATTCTTAATTACTTAAACCCATTAAATGTCCTTCGAGCCGGAATGGACTCAATGATTTTTTTACAGGTTACCTTTATTTCAGGAATTTGCTACTCTGATTAGTACGCAACTGTATGTTTTGTATAGCTGCTTGTTTTTTGTGCTGGAGATGCATTTGTCGTACACGTTTTTGAGTCACTTTCGATCACCCGGTCCGAGAATTTGCATTTACTATAAAAAAAAAATGCAAGCGGCAGTGTCAAATAGTTACGGGAACGTTTTTGTATATGTTTGTTTTCACTAGCGCCGCCGTTGACTAGTCGCAAAATTAACCTTAAAAAAAAAACAAGAAATCTTTGAATTTTCGTTTAATACGAGGCGATAAAAAAGGAAATATCAGCCACGCCAAAACAATACTTTTTTAAAATTTCTAATTAATTAATATCATTGTCTTCTACGTCATAATACATCTTAGGGCGATAAAGTAAGTAAAATTATTTTTGACTTTTGTTTTGCTGACGACCGTTTTGACAGCAGCGCTCCAACTTCCAGCTTACAGGTTGTACTTATATTTTAAAAACACCTTTTTTTTATTTCTCTACACAGCAACAAGCACTCTAGAACAAATGCATCTCCAGCGTCACCGTCGCGCGGTATCCCAAATTAACCAGATTTTCTCTGTTTAGTTATCGGCAGACCGTAACGCTGACATTCTTGACGCAAGAGCTAGCTTTCAATACGGAAGAAGAGTGTCTCGGGTTTCTCGATTCCTTCTCGTTGACTTTCACCGATCCCTCGAGGACTGTTGTCGATTGCAAAGGCAGCATGCCCGCCTTGTCTAATTTCTAAACAGGGGGTCTTCGTTTTGTATAAATCCCCCCCCCCCCCTGAAACAAGGATTTTCTTACGAATACTTCCATATAAGTCTCGTTCACGGCTGAGGAGTTTCGTTGGCAGATATCTTTGACCCGAGTTGTTGGTCGGTACATTGTTTCTGGTCTGTGTCTGTAGTGGAGACGCCGCTCCCACACATCGTTTGTGTATGTTATATCGTTCCGGATCTGCGCACTTGTTTTCGTTGGACCCTCTGCGCAGCCACGTGAAGCGGGTGGGCGTTACTTCAAGTCGGTCACGTTTTAGCGACCGACGGACTTGTTACAACTGAATTGATTTATATACAATTATATTTGTACAGCGATTTAAATATTTATTAACGGTAAATAAAGTTTTTTTTTTCTAATGTTTCTGGTATCTGTTTACGATCTTAACATAATTCAGTGATTTTTTTTCTAGTTTCATTAAAATTAAAAATTAAATAGTATTTGTTACAAATATAGAAACAGCTAGAAATTTTGGAAAATCATGTTTCCTCGACCCTCCTGGATTTATTCTCTCCGAAAACTAATTTTGAACTATTCAAGTTGAAGTTCACAATGGGGTATTGTTATAATTCAAAAGCTTCTATGATAAGAGCATAATTATTTTGAATTGAACTAGATAGTTAATCTTCATCTATTTATATAAATTGTTTTTAAGTGTTGTGGTGAGATATACCAAGGTCCACGTTGCAACGTTAGTTTATTGAGAGTATATTTCAAATAAAATTAAATCAAAATGTGTTCATTTCTCTGACAGTTACAGGATTATGTAAGATAACACTTCTGGTGCATTAAGGGTGGTACAGTAGTCAACCACAGATTACAAGACTCCAAATATTTCACTGAATTGCATCTAAGTTCGTTGTTTTGCCGCGAGATGGCTTTAAAGGAAAACTTTTAACTGGTCAAGGAGCTCGATAACCAATTTTTGGGATGAAAGCTATAAAAACACCATAATTATTTCTTATTAAAACAAAAGTTGAAATGCATAAATACCGCATTTTAATCAAAACTTTTACATTTATTAAATCCAAATAGAGAAAACGACAGCAGTAACAGCTAGAACCAAACAATGACAAAATATAATAACAGTAAAGAGAATTAAGTAAAAGCACTCAAACGGAACACATCATAACGAAATGAGCGGTGGCTGCCGACAAAAGAATCAAGCTTTAGACAGTTACAGGCTGTCAGCATTCTAGTAAGAGGCGATTAAACCCCATAATTTGCGCGATGGTAAGGTATGCGGAACATTGAGTTATCACAGCTTCTGTAATATGCGTTAAATTGTATGCCATGTAAAAAAGCTGAACAATGATACCAACCATTCAAAATCTTAAAAAGAAAAAATAAATCGGTCTGGAATCTTCTGGGTTGAAGAGTATCAATCTTGAAGGCCTTACTTATAATACTGTCGGTGATCTGATACCCATTATAGATATAACCGAAGATCTTAAAAATACTTTCTGAACACCTTCGAGCTATATGGCCGGCATAATATGGAGACCAGTCTAGAGCAAAACAAAGAGATACAGAGGAGTCGAAAGCAATGTGGAGTACGTTGGCCACTATTGCAATAACAAACCCAAGGACTCTGATAAACCTGTTAATCACTTCCGCAAAATGTGTCACAAAGCTTAGTTAGAATCCAAGAAAACACTCAACTTTTTAATGCTAGTGACGGCCTCGATCTTGACTCCATCGGTTGTGAACCCCATACTCAATGAACGACTAAAGCTAATACTACAGCATTTTTTTACATTGAACGCAAGACTATTAATCTTAAGACCACACGCGAACACTGTCCACGTCCCTCTGCAGCAGCAGAGCATCCTCGCGCTCTACGACCCTCCTGAATATCTTCAAATCATCCGCAAACAAGAGACACTGCGATTCCGAAACTACACTCATAATATCATTTATAAACAAGTCAAAAATATGGGGGACGAAAAAAATATCTATTTTACCCGGGACATAATTATTAGAGGTGGAAATCTGGATTTGTTTAGTCCAAACTTATATCCCGATCTGGAGCTCGCCTCCACCTTAATTTTAAAAGTAAAGACATGCTAAAAATAAATACCCGATTCGAGGTATTAATTAATATATTTGCAAATAGGTTTACATTTCATATAAGTTTATACGGCTCTAAGCTAAAACTCACTGTACACAAATTGAAAACAAAACGCTTTTATTCAAAAGAAAATGCTTTACCCTTTATCGAATAATAATATTAATAATAGTAATAAAAAAAAAACAACTAGGATAACAGTCAATAAATAAATAAAGCATTTTTTCACTTTAAAGACAATACTCTTACTCCTTTTTACATAATCTACTTAAAAAATCTAAGTCATCTATTGCATTTGTGTGTACATCTATTTATCCTGAGGAATTTTTATTTGTATCTTCGATAGAGATTATAGTATTCGTATAGGGTTGCCAAGTTGTACAAAGTTACCGAAAGTGTAATGATTTTTTTCGTTCTTTTTATTTATTTTTTTTAAGTGAATATATATACCTTAATCTCTATACCTTTCGTCACTGCCATACGATTACATCCGTTAATTCGTGAGCTACAATTTCGAACGATCAATTTTAATGTTAATGAGCGATGCATCAGAACTACTAACGACACGTGAACTTCTATTCTACCGGGTGGATGTAACCGTATCGCTCAGACATACGGCAAAAACTACACAACAGTTTATGCTTGTATAAACTCTTCGACATTGAATTTGTACCATTGGGAACAGCACTATTGTTATTTTTCTCAAAAAATAGGTTACCATTATTCTCATTTATTGGTTAACTGCGGTCCCGCGGGTCACCCCCTCGCCTTGTAACACGAACCGAAACCGAAAAATTTCAACAAACCCACATGCAAAAGCCGCGGCCGAACGGGGGCTTCCCCGAGAGCTTAGACAGTTCGATTCTGTATTATTTACAATATTGACAAATGACATGAACAATAAATTTCAACGACACACCGACAACGAGGTCAAAATGGCACACCTACCCGTCAAAATTGTGATGAAAAATGTTTTTTAGGCCTTGTTTTCAACGAATAACATATACACGGGGAGGTTTCCTTTTTTTTTGTTAATTTTGAACGACCGAAAATTTTCCGAGCGTTTCCTCCGCGTGTCGCGCAAAATTTGACCAAGTATTGTACCAATCTGTCCGCTTTATAACATCTATAGTGTTTTTTTTATTCTTAATGTAGTACGCGAATATAATTTTCCCGTGCGAAATCGAAACGTAAAACTACAGAAGGGACAATAAAAATTGCAACAAACTACATCGCGTCGCGTAAACGTGCAACAATTTTTCTCTTTGCAACAGAAATCTTAAAAAGTAAAATTTTAAATCAGTCTTTTCACCAATTAAAAACGACGAATCCAAATATAACCCTAGTTTACGAAAGCGAGACCCAAGCACCCGGACTATTTCGCTCCTTTTGGCTTTTCACTGTTACCAATTTTTCCATGCGACCTTAACGTCCAACATGCAAATTTGCGAAAACAGGTACCGACTTGACGGACACCTTATGTTGCGGTTTGCGTTTAGTTCATTTTACTGTTTTTCAAATTTTATGAGATTTATTCGTTACATTATAGGAAATTTAACTAAAATCGTTACAGAACTATCACGTACAAAGCGAAGTGATGATTCACTTTCACGCTTTTCAAGACAAAAATGGAGGAATAAAGGTGAAAATTGCGGTGAGAAAGGTGGAGGAAGGCGACAAACGATTGGCGTAGCAAATCAAAAGCAAAATCCTGCTGAAGAAGGAAACCAGTCACTGAATTTACAAACAATAATCAATTTTTTATGTCCCAGTTGTACGCTAGCTCTGAGTGACTCGCGAGTTTATTTGGCACGACCTTTGAAGTGACTTAAAAAGTCTACCAACTGACGCGGTAAAATTTCCGCAAACTAAAAGGCGAGTAGAAAAATAACATTCCCACCATCAACCTGATCTTAAAAGTAACCTAAATTTTTAATTTTTATTTGAAAAGTAACGCAACGCGAAAAATGTTTTACATCTTTAAACACTCAAAGAAAGATAACATTTTAGGAAGAAAAAATCATGGCGGATGACCGAGGATTTTCAAGATATGAGCTTTACTATGTAACAAAACTGCATGTTGATCGAATCCGATACAAACAAAAACTCTTGCTTGGTGCAAGAACAAATTTTGTTTTTTGTAGACGCAAAATTCACCAAAAACTCGAGAGTTACTTTTGCTTAGTGTAGCAGCGCCCCTAACGATGGCCGAGAATGCCAATAAAGAAACCCCACATCAGGTTGTTGAACTGCTCAAGAGAAAAATAGGAAAAACGTTATCATGTAAAATAATTCACGAATGTTATTTATTTTCTTTTCTAATCAAAATAGAAACTGAGCACAAGTTCTGGTTTGACAATGCAGTCAGTCGTATATGTTCTATGCAAGGAGTGTTTTCCAAGGAACAAAAATAACTAACCCGGGCGCTTATCTCGCGGATCCACCAATTTTACAACTTACTATTACAAGTTGTTATTTAATATTAAGAACTATACATACTAAAACGTAAGTAATTTGTACAAAACGGTGAATAAATGAGTGAAAAGGGGGAACAGCCGTCGGGGCGTATATGAATTTAATTGCTAGGTTTGCGAAAGCAAAATAACATCGCTCAGACGAGGATACTTAAAATGTAAGAATTAGCGAAATCGCACACCTAGCGTCCTAAATTACACTGAGCATAACCTCGTATAAGTTTCCGCTAACAAACCCGTGCAACCATGTCCAAAATCTCATCCAGCTTATAAATTAAGTCAACATCATATTTAAATAAAAATTACGAATAACTAGGCCCGGAAAACCGGAAGTGTGTAGAGGTCGACCTATTAAATTCTTATCAGAAAATCAAGGAACTTAATTATGCAAAAAAAAAAATTAGAAATGGAGATAAAATGTAGCATTTGGTTTAAATTTATTGTTTTAATTTTTGACTACGATTAAAGAAGTTTTGGTCCAAACTTATACGAGGTTAGGTTTCCTATCGACCGAGTCCAAACGATTTAATATATATTAGCGTAAAAGCGAAGAGATATCTAAAAACGGCTCGAAGACTGTAGGAACTACGAATGCCCACACACACACACGCCCACAGTCATGCAGGAAAAGAACGGTGGCGTAAAAGGAAAGGCGAGGTTGCCAGCGATTCACTTTCATAGTACCCGAGCAGAACCATCAGGATTCCCCGATTTGTGACATTTTCCCGACAACTGGTAAAGTACATTTGACATTTGAGGCGCGCTGGCACCCCCGGGGAAAGGTCGGCGCGTTAAAAGAAAAAAATTTACAATTATAATCCAAACCGAACAGTTGACTAGTATGACAGAATAAGGGAATGACTGAACGGAGGCGCCATCTACAATTCGATTGCGAATCGCAAACCGGCACCTCGCTGATTAATGATCCGGAGCTTTTATCTACGGGGTGTCCCTTTTTCGATTATTTCTTATGGGAAACTAGGTTATTATTGAAGCTACAAAGCTGTCCTAATGTTTTGAGGCTTTAAAAATGGCATAATAAATATTGCCATTTTTTGCTTAATATAAAAGATATTGTGATTTTGTGGACACTTTCTAGTGGCTAATTTTGTAACAGAAACAAAATGGTGTGTTTCAAATTTAGATTTAAAGTTTCGTTTTTTCAGGACCGTCAGAATGGACTATGTTATGTTTTTTATTATTTATTTCTTCTGTTATACTCATAATAAAATTATATTGACACAACATATTATTTTCTAGTATAAAAATTTTATTGTTACCTACTACAAAAACTTTCACTTACTGTGTTTTTATAACTATAAATGAGGCTTTAAAATGCCAATTTTAATGTTCAATAAGTTTGAAACAGCCAAACAATCATTTAAACAATAATAATTTATTATATAATAAACAACAAGTAACAACAAAAAATAAAAGGTTTCAAAAGTTACTAAAAATTTCAAAAATTTTATCATTAGATGCGACGGTTGATAATGAGTTACATTATTTGGAACCAGAACATCTTGCTCCATTTAAATTAACGCCAATTACTTCGGTCGACGTCGAAATGACGTTCTCCAAGTACAAAATTATATTAAGCGATAAAAGACAAAAATTAACCATAGAAAATTTAGAACAGCATCTAATTATCAATTGGTACAATAATAATAATAGGTCTGATTGTAAAACTAAATAGGTTTTACCGTAATGCTTTAATATAGGTTAGGTATAAGTATATAATATAAATCACTAATTTGTTATTAGCTAATGTTAATAAATACTCAAAATTAAGTATTATTATTTTTATGTATAAAAACTGTAAATATGTTGTAAATTGTTTCGTTGTTTGACTATTCTTTCTTTGATTTTCAGTAAACAATATATGTAAAAAATAAAAGGCATAAAAGTGCATAGGTGGTTGAAAAAAGCATCTATTTGACATATTTTTTGGAAAAAACAGACATATTTATATGCATATTTTAAGCATTTTCTGTGCATAAAAGTCCGAACTCTAATAATAAAAAAGAAACCGTGACGCATTAAAATCTAAAAGGTAATATGGGAGTTAAAACGTCGCGAAAATGAAATTAAAACTGAATAATTACAGAAGGGTCTAAACCGGATATTTATTATGAATGAACTTTGACTATAAATTACAATGAAAAAGGTATTTACACAATTTTTCAACTTTCCGCCATAGTCCAGAAGCTACATGTACTATTGAAGATCTGATTAAACAATTTTTTAAGTCTCGAAAAATTAGGACCGGAATGTGCAACCGACATTTTTGTGTAGTCATTAATAACTAAGTTTTCCATACAAAGGCCACATCGCAAATGACAGCTGCGAATCGAAACCTCAAAACAGGTTTTTCTTAAACAACTTTTGGGATGAGTGTAGGAAATACAACAATTTAACCTTGGAACGCGGGCTGACTTTCGTGTATACGGAAGAAGATTGCGGTCTATCGGATAAGGAATGGGCTGGAATATTGTTTAACAAGGCAGTGGATTTTGTATATTCGGAAACACACGCACGCACACACCCGCAACCCCCGAAACGGTCTCGTTTGTTTTCGCCACACAGCTACCGGAAATATAAAGGCCTTGGCTATGCATCCGAAGCCAACATGGAAAATATGTTGGAAAGGGACTATCAATATGCGCATGCGCAAAACCTAGCGGCGTTCAACAATCAACATGGCCGCTGACCTATCAACAATTCGACATTTTCAGCACATACCACCCAAAAGGGATGAGAATCTTAATGTTTACGTTTTTACGCAAGCAGATAATCAGAATGGGTTTTTTCCAATACCTTATTGGCGTTGGTCAATTATAAACAATATATTACTTATTATTGTTGTGTTGTCGAGACTTGCTAAGAAAGTTAATCGTTCGCCAAAATAGCTAACAATAACATTAAATAAATTTAACTTATGTAGTCTGTAGTTGAGTAGCCTCAAGAATCATGTTCATAGCATGTACACATTTAATTTAAACGGTTTAACAAAAATAATTGAAAAATACATATGACCTGCTGTATTTTTTATGTAACTTGTCGAACGATGTAAATTAAAGGTTAAATTTAAAATGTTGCCAGAACTCTATCTCATGTTTTATCTAACAGATGGCAGCACCATACTTAAAAGCAAAAGATTTCTTTACCGGCATTTTTCAAAATATCTCAAGTTGGGACACCCTCCGCTGCATGGCGCTGGCGCTTTTGCCAACATTCCTGACCTCCCACCGGCCCATGGCCGTCACTGGGTCAAATCTAGGGGCATGCGCTGTATGAAAATGTCACAACAGTTCTTTATTCCATCTGATAGCTATGTGGTACTTGCCGATAAGGGCGAAAACGACCGCAGGGACCGATCGGGGCGGCGCACCAACTTCCACATAATACTCGTTTGGATCACCGACAAAACCGAAACGCGTTACTGAACGAAAACAAACAAACAAAAATCTAACAGTCTAGTTTATACTATGTATAAAAAAAAACTTAAAATTAATTTGTAATCATCACATTATTCCCAAATATTTTATTACCTGAGGACCCTGGAAAGAAACCGGAAGCGTTTTACTTCGTGTACCCGCGGAGGTTACAAGACGCCCAGTTATAATATATTTTACACCCTATATAGAAAAATTAGGACTAAAAAGTTGAAAAAAAAATTGGCAACTTTATTCTATTTCTCGATGTTCGTTTTTTTTTTAAGTCGACAGGTACTGTCAATATTTTTTATACGGTAAATCTGCATATTATAATCGGACGTTCTGCGCAAATGAATTAGACATACTCACCGAGAATTCCGCCTTCTCCGCAAAATTACATTTTCAACTCCTCAGATGCTCTGAAGTTAGAGAGTGTCTTTTTTATCCGCAAGGCGGTCAGCCGCGCCGTCGCGTTGTGGTACCAGCATTCCTTCATTAGTTTCGATATGACGTGGAGCGCCTCGCAACTCTGCCAACGGTTCGGTATGTTCGGCCTCTGCCGTTCGTAACACACGACCCTAAAAACGAACCGTTTCCCCAATCGATTTTTAACAATGGGCTTTCGGGGTTAGGTTAGGGTTAGGACTAGAATCATTCTAAATCCGTTCCCACCAGAACAAAAAAAAATAGTGTGTGATACAAAGTCTTTAATTCGAACAATTATCTCTCCTAATGAGAACGCGGTAGTTGGTTGGTAAATTGGCCACGAGAACATGCTGGAAATTTTTTTGGAGCTTCTTCTGCATTTGCGTTGAGTATATCATGCCAAATTAATAAAAAAATACTCAAAAAATATGGAATCAGTGGCAGTACATTAAACCTTCTAAAAAGCTATGTGAAAAATAGAAATCAATTTGAATACTGATGGCGTTAAAACCAAAACACAAGGAACAGTGTTGGGTTCAAAACTGTTCACAATCTATATAAAAGAACTATACTCAGTTTTGCAGATAACACCGCCGTAGTTTACACTGCAGAAAACTGGGATCAACTTAAATGTTTCATAAGTAAGTGTAATAAACTGATGTTAAACAACACTAAGAAAAAATTTCTTCCTTCTACATCTTACTCTAACACTCTACCACACTTTGAAACCATCAAACTGCAACAAAATAATGAAATTCTAAAGATTGACTGCAAAATATTTGGCTATAATTATTGATAGTCATCTAAATGAATCGCGAGTAAATTACGGTATTGCGGTTTGGGGTGGAGTAAGATGTTATTTGGAAGAAGTAGACGTTTTGCAAAAGTGGGTACTAAAATTAATATTTCATAAAAATCGATTATACCCTACGCACGTTTTAAATAGTGAACCCAAAATGCTGGACACCCGCCAACTTTACTTGCTTTTATCTATTAACAGAAAAAAAAATTAACTTGAAAATATCGCACATCAACACAATACCCAACATAAAAATGATTGTCTAGTGGTCCCAGTGAGCAAAAAAAACCGGCAAGCAAAGATAATTTGTCTTTTTGGCCCCAAATTTTTTCAACTTCTTACCCAAAAAACTTAAAGACACTGCATATGATAAAAATTTCAAGGCAGAGCTAAAGAAAATTTTGATAATTACAGAGTTTACAGTTTTAGTTCACAGAGTAAGGTGTTTGCTAGCGTTATTGGAAAAATCGTTTTAGTCTAAAAAAACCCCATTGTGATTTGCCAACCTAAATAATTATTTTTTCTTATTCCTTAGAACAGTACTCATTCTTACTTATGGTTTACATAACAATTTTTTTTACAAATCCAAAACTTTTAAAAATTAAGATGCCCTGACAGAGAAACTAGAAAATAATTTCTTGCATTTTCTCTTGGATGATATAAACTTTGGTTTCACATTCAATGTCAAGGAAATTATGCAACATTTTCCAGTGAGTGTGGATGTAGCTGAGGGGGTCGCTGATAGTGCATACTATAAAGACATGGAAAATTAACACCTATCAGGACTGCTCATATTTTCCTCCGGTTTGATGGTCCCAAGAACTATGTGTGAGAATGTATACACATGTTATCAAAATTGAGCATAATGTATAAAATTCCTAATTCTTTGATGATAAATTATGATTTCATAACGCCAAGCAACAACCAACACATAAAACCTAAAAAGAGTCTATCAGCTTTTCTTCTTTATTATTTAAGACTAAATTAGCTGGATTTCAAGATCAGTCTGTGGAAAGGAACACAAGAAACAAGTTCGTTTAATGTTGAAACAAATGTCAAAATTATATTGGGCACCAAATTGGCAACACTGCAGCGACGGTTACATTAAACAGCAACACACAGGTCCACGAACTCATTCTGAAATTACATCACAATAATTGACTCTTACCTTCTCATTTCTTCGATGGTCGGATCCGGCGGCACCGCATCGTAAAATGGTAACTGGTACTCGTCGTAGATGCCGCCTACGTTGCAACGTCGCGCGACCTCCCAAAATATTAACCCCAACGCGTATACGTCGGCCCTTTTGAACGAATCGAACTGATCCACGTTCATGGTTTCGTCCAACACCTCGGGAGCCATATAACGCTTGGTGCCCACCCTGTTGTTCAACGGTATGTCTACCGTATCGGTGGTGACGTCGTGCCTGACGGCGAGACCGAGGTCGCCGATGGCGCACGTCCTGTTGGACTTAACCAGGATGTTCTTCGATTTCAAATCGCGGTGGGCTATCGCGGGTTTTCCTGACGAAACAAATGCAAAAACCGCATACAATAGGGTGTTATTTTGTGATATTTGGTTCGGTACAAATCGCATAAAAAATCACGATGTCAGTCAAATAAAATAACATAGAGATATGATGGGAACCGGTTGGTTAGTCAGTTAGCCAGATATTTCATGTGAATTGCGATAAATACGCTGCAAAACCTATATAGGCTAGTATCTGGTACATAGTAACATGGTTATGATACAAAGCTAACCCAACAATACCATTTACAAACCGCGTCCATATCAATTAATTAACAACAAGGAGCAAAAATCGTTCTTGCTTATTAGGTTGGACGATAAACAAGATATGCTGATTCCAAACTAATCTTCACAAATTTCACAACTATATAATGTATCCATCTCAAATAATGCTTAAAGATGTCGGTAGTTTCTCATTCTACACTTATACCACATGACCATAAAAAATGTATTTATTCAGTAACAAAAAAGTATCAAAGAGTATGGGACTCACAACATTACAAAAATGAAAAATAGTAAACAAATAGAAAGTACTTTTCCAGTTGCAGTACACTCGGACCAGTTAGTTCTGGTTAGTTTAAATCTGTGTCACGAATAAAATTTTAAGACCATTGTAACGATTATTTAAAAATATATATTTTAATTAGGTTTTAGGTTTATTAAGTTTAGAACTAATTTTAAGATGCCAATGAAGAAGTATATTTTAATTTTATTATTTTCCGCAAAGATCAACATCAAAGTCAAAAGAGAGACCACGCTTAAAACATTGGAATTTGTGAGAGTGATTAGACGCATACCCGGACACCAATTGAAAAATAACTGTTTAGATGCCTAAAAAAATTAAATAGTTTGCGCAAAAAAGGCTGCATTTCCGTAGAAATATATAATTATGAAAAAATTAATAAATTTAACAAAAAAAAAAGTTACTATGAGCAAAAATATTGGTCAGATAATCAAAATAAAGCTGCTTGGTCTATTGTGTCTGAGATAAGTGGAAGGAATAAACGATCATAGGATTTTGAGATTAAGAACAATGACAATATTAGGAAACCGGTAGCATTACCGAATTTTTTGAACAAGTTTTTTATAAACGCTCCTAATAAAATCGTTGACAAAATTAAGAAGTCATCTGAAACCCACGAAAATTAATTTATACATGTAATTGGAAGTTTCTCTGGAAGCAAGCACATTAGACCATTCTCTCAAGAGGAAATACCGAACTTAATAAAAAATAAAATAAAAAACAAAAATTCTTATGGTCCTGATAATGGTGTGCCTTTTGTAATATTCAAAAAGTGTGCCGACTATATTCAGTGTCCATCGACCTTCTTGATAAATGCATCATTAGCTGAGGGAGTTTTCCCTACAGCCCTAAAACTTTCATGTGTGACTCCCATCTTTAAAAAGGCAACAGACATTCTGCAGAAAATTATCGTCCAAGAGCAATTACATTATGCTTTGAATTTGAATTTGAATGTACCATGTTTGGCCGCTTGATCGATTATTTAAGTAAAAACAAAATTTTGGCTTTAGTCAGCACGGCTTCAGGACAGTTAGATCAACCCAAACAGCGATTCATTCATTTTTGCTATCAACTATATTGAGTCTAGAAAGCAACCTGCATGAATATTTTGTGATCTTAGCAGGGCTTCTGACTGTATGAACTACAAAATTCTTTTGAATAGGGAGGAACAATACGGAATTCCTGGAATAGCTCTAAACTGGTTTAGATCGTTCTTAACAAATCGTAGGCAGTGTGATGAAATAAGGGAGGAAAAGGGCAACTTGTGTCAAATTAAAAACTCTCAAGTCCAATCGGATGATAGAGGCGAACCACAAGGTACAATGCTGTTTCATTTATCCTTCTTATCAATAAACTCTTTGCTCACCTGCTTAGTTTGGGTTTATCAGAGTTCCCGGACGACTGTTCAAACTCTTGAAGACAGAATTAATTCAGCACTTTTGCTGCTAACTCTTTTTGAATGTCCAAAAAACCAGTGTTCTGATATTCAAATGACCACAAACAAACACAATATTTCTGTGAATTTCCACTCGGCCGGAGAGGTCGTTGAAAAAAAAAAGCACGCTAAATTTTTGACGGAACCTAATCTTGGGAAACCCAATGCCAATTACTTTCTTCCAAGCTGCACAGTTATGGTTTCCTAATAAAAAATTTAAAAACTGTTTTGGATGGGAAATGCATGGTAAATTTCTACTATGCTCACATCCATTTGAGAATACTCTATGGCTCTATGGTAGTCCCTTTTGGGGAAATTCAAGTTATGCGATATCTGTTTTTATATTCCAAAAGAAAGTCCTAAGATGTATAGCTGGAGTGTCGCCGGATAGCTCGTGCGGGCCCCTCTTCAGGGAGTTTAAAATACTCCCTTTAGCGTGTATATACATATCGTAAGTTTGTTTATGGGTGTAAAAAAACAAAAATAACACAAAAAAAGTAGATTTTCACGACTATAATACACGTAACAAAGACTGTTTCTCTATAAAAAATATAGACTAGAATTTTCAAAAAAATACTTTACGAATACCGGTGTTAGAGTCTATAATAAACTTTCCTCAGAGCTAAAAAGCAGTAGTAACATAAACATTTTTAAATCCAAACTAAAAATTTTTCTCCTACAGAACTGTTTTTATAATTTAGAGGAATATTTTCTTATTAATGCTTGTAATCACTATATTGTTCTACTCTGTCATATTTTTATTATAAAAATTTTTAATGTAGTTTTCTGCCTCACTTGCGGGATCTATATTGTGTACCTAATTTTGACCTACTTGACGAAATACATAATACACTGATTGTATTCTAGCCATGTGGGATAATAAAGATATTATTATTATTATTTTAGTTATTTCTTGATTTCAATTAAAGTGTATGAGATAATTTATTTGTGTTGACACAACAGCGAATCAATCCGTTTATTTGGTTTTATCAACAACTCTGTCCTGCTATTTAAACCGAAGTTTCACACAATATAATGTTACTAATGCAATCCAATCTAGAATGAACTGGAAATTCTCATAGCTGGTATACAGAAAAATACGACCAAGCGTTAAGCGGGAGATGTAAGTTTATACAACTGCAGAATGACTAAGTAATGGAACTGTGACTTGTATATAATGTGTGTGGAACTTTTCCCCGTATCCTTTCTTGAAACTAGTGAATTCTCCGTTGGGTTAATGATTTTCTTAAAAGCAAATCCCTTCAGGGGTAATTAAAGAAAAAGTAGTTGCACTGGTGAGTCAACACTAATAATGACACTAGGGTTTTGCAGTTTGGATATATGTGATTAGCAATAACCTTTTGTAGCGTTCGTAGACAAAACAATGAGTGTTTTATATATTTGGATGTATATTGTACGAGATTAGCAATGTCCATGTTAAAAATTAATCGGGAACCCTTTGCAATTCTATTAAACAAAATAATAAGTCCGTTGAGAAAGCGTTTTTTTTTTCATATTTCAGGTTATTAAAGTTGGGTCGCATGATTTTTCAACCCAGCATCATGGCAAATCTTATTGCCTGACAAAAGATCCAGTGACACGACAAGCATTTTATAAGAAATTTTTGAATCAATTTTTTCTAGACTACCAGAGTACTTTTGCCATTTGTCCCTCGACGATGAGATTATTTGTAGATATATAAAGTCATTTCAATAACACTGTGTATATAGAACGACTAATTACAGTTTACTTAAGGTTCTAACCTTGAGTCCCCATTATATCCATGTGGAGGTGAGCTAGACCCGTCGCGATGGACAAAGCCATCCGAATCATGCCTCCGGTGTCCAAAGTATTCCTGCCTAGGAAATCGAATAGGGAACCGTGCTCGTGGTAGTCGGTTATGAGCCACAATTGGGTCCACGTGCCGTTATCTACAACAAACGTTACCGAATGGTCCGCGCCGTCGCAAATGCAGAACTCCCGTTACCCTTGTTATCGGCCGCTATAAATCCGAGTATGTTCTCGTGGCGAAGCATCACGGTTTGGTAAATCTCGGCCTCCCGAAACCACGACCGTTCCTCTCTCGAACTGAAAATTTTCACTGCCACGTTTTCACCGCGCCATCTGCCGCGCCATACCTCCCCGAATCTGCCCTGACCGATTATGTCGATCAGTTGGATTTGCCGGGCGATACTTCTCTGAACCAACAACGGCAGACCTGTGATACATGAATAACATTGACTCATTTTTTATATAACGTCCCCCTCTATATCACAAAAAAATAAATCCAGCTGCATTTTATCATTAAAAAAACTTATAAATGGTTTGATACATTTTCTGAGCGCTTACGGAACTGACTGGTCAAGCGGGATGGGTTGTCGTGATTATAGTTTCCAAGGGAATTAAGGAGATAACCATTGTTTTCAAGGAATCTCTAAATAAAAAGTGAACTAAAATTATGGAAGAGAGGCAATAGATATATAGTATTAGTGCGGTGCATAGTGTCTTCCAATGAAAACTACTAATTTAGTACCGCCCACCATGTAGTTATGTCAACGACAATTGTTGCAGTTCTAGGAAGATAGTAAAAGAAGGGAAGTGCATAGGTTCTGTAGTAGTTCGTCTTCAGGCCCATCAGAGAATATCACAATCGAGAAGAACGCCTTTATACACACCCGACATTATGCAGAAGACTTAGTTGCGTTAATATCAGATGTTCTCCAGAATGAAAGTTCTGAATACATAGCGAACTTAAATCACGAAGGGAGGATAAGTTTTCCCAGATTTAGGATGCTCATTATACTAGGAAGGAATGTTTTCATATCTGCTCTGCTCACTGCCGATTTTTGAAATATTGCCCACCACGTGGCCATAGTTCTACGTAAATGGTAAACGTAAATGCTAAACTTTTTATATACTGCGTGTAATGCACTACTCCGAACCTTGTCAGAACGCAGCTGACATAGTCCCAGAACTTAAGTTCTCAATAAATAGTAAACTAAAACCACGGAGGGAAGACACATTCTACAAGGTTAACGATATATATTATGCTGAGGAGGAACGCCTTCCTCCAAATACAATATCAATCATTCGTCCGAATTCTCTGGAATGTTCTAGATAGACGGAAGACGACATAATGTTATCTAATTTCATACTTCCTAATTTTAATTTTAGCGTCGCAGTTTAAATCGTAACAGAAAAATGATGGTGCTTGAATCTAGGAGGATACTGAGAAACATTTTTTTCATATTCTGCGAAACCGACGCAGAGCACATAACCTGTAAGTCTGCGCACTGTGCGAACATAGAAACTAACCCGATCCGCTGCCGCTGGTGGTCATCTCGATCATGTGCTTCAAACTCACACCCTTGCTCAAAATCGGATGGTCCGGGGCCTCGATGCTGTCATCGCCCGGTCTCAAATGATGATGTAGTCCCCTTTTCTTCTGATTGCCGGTGCGGTAGAAGTAGACGACCAAAACTATTATGCACACAATCAGAATAGGTATCGCGATGCAAGCCACTATCTCCAGCGAGCTCAAGGTCGCGCCCGTCGCACCTACAGGTCAGAATGTCCCGGTCATTATCGTGGGCGTAGTTCACATGCAGGAGACGGTAGTTATTTTACGCATGCGCGGTAATTCGATATCTCAAAGTAGCCAAACACAGCGAAGCGAGAAGATGTGGCAATGCAAAGCGAATACATGCACCTTAGCTTAAGACACGTACCCAAAAAAAATGTACAACAAAATGGAAAATCGATACAAATCCTTTTTCGTTATTCCTGGCGGCGCCCTGTAATACGCAAGAAAATGGCGGCTTCACGATCGACGGTGTCCGCTAAAATACAAACAATCCAGAGTATCGACACCCAGCGTGACGCGACTCGAATTTTCCAGAACAAATAGCCCACCATGCTAAGACAAGGTTCACGGACGGTGGACAGGTCGTCTGGCAACTCGAAATGGGAAGAGACGCAATGTTTGATCCCGAATTATCTCGCAAGGAAATATTTTTTTCGATGTTGTGGTAAATAAGTATAATCGTCCCATAGCAAATCGCACCAAAATTTTTCATCTAACACAAAAAAACATGTATGTAGAAACATGAAAGATCGATTTATAGTACGGAAATACTTGCATATTGAATGATGCAGGTAGTATTGAGGACCTATCGTTAATATGGTGAAAATACTTTACTGAAAGGCTGTATAGAAATTTCAAAACTATTTTTGTTCTCTTTTATTTTATTATTAACCCTAAACTGCAAAGGGTAATTTTTGTCATGCAAAAAACTTTATTTTAAGTTTACATAAATCACTTTAAAATGCAATCTTATCCAATAATCCAATGAATTTAAATCCTGCTTTGCGATTGGTGGAGAGTTACCGGGCAACCTATGATCTTGATGTCGCAGTCAATCAACCAGGGGCTCAATTCTTGAAGTTGGGGAACGACGTGTTCTCCTAGAAAATGTTCCGCCTTTGTCACTCGTACTTATTTTTCCGTTAGTTAGTGACAAAGACAGAGCAATCGTTCCCCGAAATCAAAAATTGAAGCCCGGAGACAAAACATAACCCCCCACAGATGCGCCGGTCGAGATAGACGTTAAACGGATGAACAACGATCACAGAATGAGCCCACTGATGACAAAAAAGCCAACGGTCCTAACCTTCGGGGAGCGGCAAAGGATCCCGATTACAGAAATCGCCGGTTTGACAACACGCGGTCACCCGGTAGATGTCGCCGTCCATTTTCGTAGCGTTGCAATACTCGCCGTGTTTACTGGCGCCAGCAACGATATCGGGAAACTGCTCCTTGTGAAAACATCTAGAAAAATAATGCCGGCATGTCTATATCGCGTCGTTTACAATTGTCTAGTCCGTTCTGTGGCCGATGGAGACAAACGCGAAGAGACCATAGAAAATTACAATGCATCACCAAACCGTAGTTTTTCTTTGATAGCGTCATCCACCAGAACGATGGCAGAACGAAAACGATTCGAGTAAGAAAAACTAGGTCTAACAAAATTCAAATTCACACTAAATGGACATTTAAACTAACTAAAATCTAAGTCTACACAATTTTCATGCATGCTGACTAATTTTACAGGCTAATAATGTAAAATAACAGATACCAAGCGGTCGCCACCGCAATAAAGTGAAATATTGAGCTCGAGGCGGCAAGTTCCACTGCAAGGACACACATGAAGTTGTGCCTTCTATGGGTCGAATTCCGAATCTCCGAATAATTTGTCTGGCTGTGTTCACTCAAAATCCATTGTGGAAAATTTACGAAAACTATGCGATCGACTTATTCCTTACAGAAAAAGTTTATCGGTTATTTTTTCTGGAAATGTGCTTTCAGATGTTTTATCGAAATGACACAAAATGAAGGAATCGCTTTTTACAAAACTTCTGGATTCCCCGTGCGTCGGTTTTTGCTCAGTCGAAATTGCTGACGTTTCGCCAATCGTCCTGTTGGCTTCTTCAGGATGATTGGCGAAACGTCAGCAATTTCGACTAAGCAAAAACCGACGCAGGAGGAATCCAGAAGTTTTGTAAAAAGCATTACAGTAGCCTGTGGAAGTTTCTTAGAAAAATTAAATAAAGGAATTATTAAACATAAACATATGGGTTTCGTTAGTGCGGGCATGGCGGATCGAAAGAACAGGGACGCACCGCAGATTTTGTTAAGGAGAGAGAGAAGAGAGAAACTGAAGGTGGATCAATAAAAAGAATAAGAAGTCACTTGGAATCAATCAGTCAGTCTATCAATTTTTTACATTGATCCAAATTATTTAAGCTAAAGACATATCACATGAAGTTTTACAGATCCACCTGGACATTGAAAAAGATAAGAGTTATTTTTATTCACATTCCAAGCAGACATCATGAGGACTACAACTAAGAATAAAAACTAAACGTATAGGCACTAATAAATTTAAAAAATGACCAATATACATACACAAAAAAAGTTCAATTTTGGTAACTCAAAAACTGGTCATTGGCCAATCCGATGGAAATACCGAAAGCCAGTTTTCATAAGAAATAAGCGGGATGCTTTCGAATTTAGATCAAAACAGTTTTGTCTGCCATTTGGCAATCTGACGTTGGGAATATTGATTTTGGTCCCGGCTATTATTACCAAAATGAATATTTAATCTGTTTGGCAAATGTCCCATATTTTTTCTTTTACAGGTGGCTCAGCCAAATGGTAGTTTTGGAGCCGATCATCAAATTTTGTAACACGGTATCTGTCATTTTGATTCACCGAAAAAAAAAATTACTATAACAGTTTTATACAACGAACTGAAAAGACTAAAATTTAGAGTGAAAATAATTTAGCGATAGTACAGGCGTTAGCTCTAAGGATGTTAAGACAAGAGCTTAGTGCGGCTAAATAAAAATAAATAAATAGGTATCTACAACGAAAAGAACTTGTAGAGGCTGATAGTTTAACAAGTTAGTTTACTACTTCAGAAGCTTTCGTATAAGAAATTTCAATCCCGATCACCACAATACTATCAGACCTCTATAATTAGCGTCTTCCTGTTTCCTACCTTTTAAACACGCTTGAACCTGTTGTCGAGCTCTTAGGATGACACTTTATGCGCAGATAACATAAAGTGCAACAAATATATGACAAAAATCCATCAAAACAGAAACAGAAAGACCATACACGAGAAATGAATCTAGTAACATTTAAGAGAACATTTGAAGGTCACTATGCGATTTTTATTCAATTTACTTCATTTCGAAAAAGCTCTTCGTATAACCTGTATTTACGAATTAAGTTCCATTACATACGACGTTGTACAAAAAAAGTTACTATAATGCGCATACAGGGTGTATTAAGTTTAAGTAGCGCTGGCTCAATTTTAGGTATAGACGTCTAAAAAGTGCACCGTTTACTTTTTATTTTTTGAGATCAAGCAACTCCAAATAAAACTTTTAGGTCTTTTTAGTTTTCTTTGTATCTCACGACGTAGTCGTTTTCGTTAGTTCGCTTTGTTTAAAGTTCGTTTGCAGGTCGCTAGGATGATTAATTCGTCGTTAATCCATTTGAAAGATTATCTTTATCTAGCATTATTTAATATCCGATAAAATTATTGAAGTGTAAAAAATGCTTTTTAAACAAATAATCTGCATTATCAGAAACTAAAAAAACACTTACATTGAAGAACTACCACAAAAAAACTAATAATTCGCGGTTTTCATTCCTTTTTGCAAATGCAAAGGAAAATGACAGGACATAAAAGTTATATATATTATATTGGTAAAATAATGATTCAATAAAGAAAAATAAACAACTACACAACAAAACCTTAGAAATATTATTACCATTATTTGTTTAATAAACTAAAAATATTGACACAGTTTTTGCAAACAATTTAAAATAATATATCCATATATAATGTTCCCAACAATGTTATGAAGTCTGATTAATATCTGGCTTTAAGTTCTCTTGTAGCAAGCCAGTGCGAAATTTAGATTTTTAAATAACCGATTAAAAAATGTGTTTCATTTTTGTAACTTTCAAGTGCAATCTAATATCATAATCAATATAAAATCATAACTGACGAGCAGATGTGTAGATTAAATATGTTTTTCAACTTATTTATCCAAATTAAAATTTATTTATCGAACACTTGAAAACATTGTATTGTTGAATGGGTTGCCAATTCGGCAGACATAGACTATAAAAAAATGACCCAACAAAATATTGATTCTTTTTCTGATGTTTCATTGTTGACTGTTTGGGAAGAACTGGTTCGAAACGATAAAAAATTGCACGCGACATTCAAACGTTTCCGCAATGTCGACCAGAACCAAATAGGTACTAATAGAATCCACATCAAGACCTCCTCTACACTGTTCAACGTCCACCGGACTAGTTTTACCTGTACTGGGCAGCATTAGCTGCGGTTTGAGGTGCTCGTTGCAGAAGTCCTTGTCCTTGCAGCACTCCATCACGAACATTGCTTTAAGTGGGTTTTTTTTGTGACACGGTAGGGGGTTGTTAGTCGGCAAGGTCAGGTCACGGTCGAGGCACCTAAATAGAGACCGGGACACGTTTCGGATCAGTGGACGGGATTTTGATTATTTTCTTTTAAAATTTGGAAAACGTCTCCGCAACCGGAAAGTTGATTTCGTTCAAAAATCTGGGTGAATTTTCGAATAGCCAGTCGTTGGAGGAGGCGGGTCGGGGGAAAGGGGTCGAAACGAAATAATGATGCCGGTACGGCCTTAAAACGTGTTAAATATCAAATGCAGTCCGATAACGAAAATCTGGCAATGCTGCTGCAATCGGTGTTAGTACCGCCGATATAAAAAAAAATCGGCCAGTCTGTTGCGCAAAGCACTGGTTCGTTTTGTTACGGAAAAAAGTACGTTTCGAAAGAATCGCATATTACCATTTCGCAAACAATCAAATACGATAAGTCTAAATGGAGCCCGATCATTTATAGGAGTAAATACAACAATAGAGACGCCGGCACAAATATTTACATCTCAAAATTACGTGATCAATTCAATGTAAATAAAAGTGTTCGTAATATGATTTATGAGCACTTCGTTATCAAGAATACAAGATTTCGGTTTTACCAATTCTTTTGAGGTTAGATTTGAACGTTCAACGTTGAATTTTTTCCATCTAATATTCTGTCAGAGCACAAAGAACACCGGCAACATTGCATAAACTTTAGCAACAGGACCTATTTACTGCCATAGGACATCGTAATAAATGTAACACTAATACACCAAATATTACATGATTCTGAAAGGCAATTTCTACCTACAGTAACTTAAAATCGTCTGCATATTCCTCTAGGAAATGGCTAGATAACACCGTCACTGTCTTTTTAATTAATTATTATCTTTAAACCGTGTCTCTACCTACTTATTCAACTATCGCGCTACTACACCACTTTTGTTAAGGTTTCCTGATACCTGTAGATCCGTCATGTCCGTTTTTATTAATGATTTCCAAAAATACGGTAATTTATCGCTATTTAGTACAATCTGAATATAAAATAATGAATATAAAATGAAATAAGTTATACAGTCGTTCTATTTCCTTTTAATCGTTTCCTTAAAAATTGGTTTTTGTTACTACCGAAATCAAAATTCTTCTTTTTACTTGCTAAAACCTCAAAGCAATGTTACCAGTTTGCAATACAAATAAGTAATTATTTGTTCATTAGAATAAGATATTCTATTAAACACATATATAATATACAGGGTATTCCACTAAAAAAAACATGATGTGTTACATTTCAGAAAATTGATAGTTTTGTTTTATACGTCACTTGGAAAGAAAACTTGGCTATTAACCCTACATTTTGGTTTTTGTTTACCTTGTTACAACCAATTAAAATGTTATCAAGATAAATTGAATGCACGGTATACATTTACTGACATTTTGTAAATTCTTACAACTGACATTATCCTATACTTTGCAAAAAGTCGGCGGACATAAAAATTTGTAGATTGTTAAGTATTTATAATAGGGCGACTTACCCATTTAAAAAATTGGAGAAAATTGTTTTACTAAAATGAAATTTTACTAAATTGAAATTTAGCAGATAGAAAAACATATTTTTGTATTTTTTGGCCAGTAAGTTGGCCCTACGGCATTAAAATTCAATTTAACAATCCCGGTGCCCATTTCATGGAGGAAAGAATATTATTTTTTTTTTTAATTGCACGCCTTATGATATATGTATGTATACACTATTGCGCTCTCCTATATATTTTATAGTTTTCATGACGGAGTAGAGAAAATAGGGTCTTTCATGGAACACTTGTGTATGACTCCATGTCCGAATTGATCATAACATGCGGTCAAAATACCCTGGAAAATATAGACTAGCAAAATAAATAGAAAATATTCGAAAAAAATACTACATACTTGACTAAATGGATCAGTCTGTCAGAAATATGCCGGATTCTCATAAGATCGGGTAATTCAACTATTATGATAGTAGCGACAGAAATTTTGTCGCACTCCAAAGCAATATGGGATTCTTGTAAACGCGGCAAAATTCAAATGCATTAGTAATGTTAATTGAAAAAAAAGGGAAAACCTGGGAAACGCAAAATCGAGGTCCTGGGGGGCCACACAGGTTTACCTGTCCACTGATTTAACTTAAGCCGTTTACCGAAGCGATTCTCTAGTAGGGACTCATTGCCGTTGCAATAGTCTGTGTCACAGCACAACTGATTATTGCACTGCATCGGACTTTCAGGCGGTAGAAACTTTGCCCTGTCCAAACAGCTGATGGGGGAAGAGACTACAGTTCAGAAACGTCTACATATTTCATTAATTTTTGTTAATAAATCCTTCTGTAACACAGTTTTGTTTTTTCTCGCCTAACTTTTTTGAAACGTCCAAATCTTTTCGTGTGAACAACACTTTCACATGAAAGTTATTATCGAATCAAAGTTCAAACAACAATTCGCAGAAGTCACGAAAAATCGAGAAGAATACATAAACACGTACGCGAAAACAAAAGTCGTGTTTAACCTTGCAAACAATGGGCGTTTTCGAAGATATTCAAACACAAATCGGTTTGAAATTGCAAATCCCACAATTATAATTTCAAGTTCAAACCTATGGCCGGTAAAAATAACAACGGAATACTCTTCGTCGCTATAATGCTTATGTTACATTTGTTTCGCTGGAAATAATTGAAATCAAGAATACCTACTAGCTATTAAATACATTTTTTATAAATTGTGAATTGGGGAGCAAATTTCCAGGAGTGTATGCGGGAATAAGGGGACTGGCTATCCAATTATTGGGGAGTCAAAGTTTGTTTTTTTTTTTGTTTTCTGGAAAGTAATTTTGGGAAATTTATCGCAAAAATAATTAACCAGATAAAGTGTATTACACCATTAATCGACCACAATCTGATAACGATGTTATTGTCGAAAACATTTATCTACAGAGCGCTACAATTTAAATTAATTAACATTTATCGGGCGGGTATGTAGGTATTTGGCCAAACGAAAAATATATGTTTATACAAGAAACAGGAAGTTAAACTAAAAAATCAACTATTTAAACTTAACTATCTAACTATTTAAACTTATCTAAACTATTTAAACTAAATTAAAAAAATATATATTTCCAGAATTTTTTTGACTTCTATTATTTTTTGCTTAATTCTTTTCAAATTAACGTCCATTCTAGTCTTTCAAATTGAAAATTAATGCAAGGAGTTTGTTGTATGTTCATATTATACTGATAAGCCTTACATCTTAGAATAACCCAGTTGCAGTTTGGCCACATACATAAACAGCACCCTGTATATTAGGTTGAGAACTATCGACCCACTCTTTGCGTATTATGTAGTAGCCATGGGTTTTTAGCAATAAGCTGCTTGTTGTTGCGAAGGAAGTAATAAAATCTAATAAGACTTTTAATAAATCAATGTAGACTTCAAACAGGGCTAAAGGTGGTCAGATAGATTCACAGCATGTACCGCAAAGCTCATAGTAATAATTGATGTTATTTGGTATTATTAAAAAAATATTGCAATAGTGTAAAACTGAGTGAACCATACAGATGTTGCAATCTAGTAGGTACTTAATAATCTAAGAAGCTGGCAAGTTGAATGTATTTTTAGTAGAGTATGAACAACTTTACATCAAACAAACAAACGGTTTTAATCGATTTTTGTTGTTTTCACCAAGCCTAATCATTATAATCTTATCTTGACAACCTCAAAAATACCTTAGGAAGAAAATTAAAAATGAAAAACAACACACCCACAAATGCCTTCTTAAATAAAAAACACTTATATGGTTTCCCATAAATTTTCAAATGGGAATACAAGGAACTTGCACTCACCGATAATTATAGAGGACTTCATTAGTATTTTTCTTGAACTGAACTGAAGTAAAACAGTAACCATCAGTTTCACAGGTATCATTTGTATGTTTGCAGAAATCATCACATCTACACTTCAGAGACCACACTCCTAAAACAAATTTAACGATGCCAACGCCGGCATAGGCCGCTAATTATCAACACTCATGCAATTATATCACTTACCTATAATATTTAGGCCTATTAAATAGAAGAGAATAAACACAGTCCTCAAATTGGATGACATTTTGGAAACACTTCGAATTTTACAAGAGTTCTTCGTCGAATAATGTGTCTTTAGTTCACATTACAAGGAACTTTAGCGCATTTGTCCGTAAGAAATATATACTAACACCAGCCATTAGAAACACGTTAATTATTAGAATTTTTTGGAACACTTTCAAGTCATGCCAAATGTTCATTCGCGAAAAATCATCAACGCACTGCGTAACTTCGCCGATCAATGCGAGCAATCACATTTTTCTAACAAATAAAAATAAACCATGAAAATAATGCTGAATTACTCAATGAAAAGTGTCAACCATGTCAGTCTGCTTTCATTTTAACTGATATTTTTTACTTCAGAGGCCGCTTATCATTCTTGTGTCATTTATGTCAAAAATTGCGGAAAATTTAAATTCTATGCGAATGAGCACAGAATGATGACTAATTTCTCTCATCACTAGCTGCGAATTAATAATATTATTAATTTAGTTATCAAACCTGGCAATTTTGTAAATCAATTGTATATTTGGATAGAAGAGATCATCTTCTTCACGTTTAATATAAGACGTCTGTGATTGTCACTGGTCACAAACATTTTATATAAAACCAAGTAATTCTTTAAAATATTATGCGCGCTGACATGATTCGAGCTTGTCTAGACCGAATGTAAATAACCAACAACCAATATCAAATCGAATACATTTTTATACAAAACGATTGTAGCACTCTGACGTCATTTGATATAATCCCAGCTAGACGTCTGAATAATAACCACGATGTTTCCCTTGTTGTTCGCTTTTCAGCAGTAAGTGATGAATATAAGGAAAATTTATCTTACATAATTGATGTGCTTTAATGATTGTTTTTTCTTTTGCTATGTTTATTTTAGGTAAAAAACATTTGATAAAGACACGGTGTTGTCGAAACAATTGTCATGTCAAAATATATAATTTCGTGAAAATCTGAACTTTTAGTTCTTATTTATTTTGATAAATGAATTTTCATCAAGTAAAAGCCTCCTCAGTTAATTTTATTTTAGGTCATGATTAGGTAAGAAAGATTTCAGCGTTTTATTCATGGCCTTAAATTTCTATTCTGTAGTTTTAAAAGAGTCTGTGGTGATCGGTCATATCGTTTTCCATTATATTCCATTACATTATGCACAGAACGCGAAGGGCAGGGTTCTCGTTCAATATTACCATTTGTTTGTTTGACTGTGATATTTATTGGCAGAGAATAGAACTAAATTGATGTTTCTGCGCAGGCGTTCGAAAATTTATGTTGTTTTCGTGTTGTGATTGAAATGTCCGACAATGCAAATTGACTTGTAATTTGTGTAGTAAATGTTAATAGTAATCGATCGTTTTGCCAATGGAGCAAAGAGCGAACCAAACCACCCCGCTGTGGAATAAGTCTACAACACAAGGTCGTCTACGGCCTCCAAAGCTGAATAATTCCACGGAAGCCGTTGCCAAACGGGATTCTTCAAACTCCCAGCCGGACTCTGTCGTCGCCAACTCAACATTAAAAGCAGATGCACCGGAATTTTACCCTGCCGGTTACAATAGATCTGAAGTCTCCGAACCAGTCAATTACTTTCCCAAAAATGTCCACATAACTGTAAGCGACCCCGCGTCAATTGTGAAACACAGCGCCCAAAACAGATTGAATAAGTACAAGCAAAACTCGATTGGATCGAGTTATGTAGAATATAATGGACACTGCGATGATGATTCGCCAGATATGATTCGGCTGAAACAAATCATATCGAGTTTAAAACTATATCCTGGTCAGTTTGATGATCTGTTGATGGTTTTTATGGAAACTATTTATCCTTACTTTAACGATATTATTGCTATGTCTGAAATTGTCAAACTCCTAGTTTCTGAGGTGAGTACAATTTTTTTCTTTTTTAAATTGTCTTATTAATTATTGTGAATCAAAGTTTTATTGTACTTATTTAACATGCATGTAGGCAATAGAATCAGCCAATTTCCGATACAACAGTGCGAGACTCTGCTGGTATGTAGAACAAAAATGCGCCGAATTTAGGGCAGAACTACATATGAGGTGTAAGAAAGAGTTGCAGGAAAATCCCAATCAGCAAAATGTGTTATTGTTTCTTGCCGAATTATACACTCAACTCCCACACTCTACTTTATATGGTACACTTTTGATAGATTCTTTGAAAAGGTTGTTGGAGAGTGGAGGAAATGATAATGTAAAGTGTGTGGCTCAAGCTTTGAAGGTAATAGTTTTGTTCCCCATTCCAACTATATCTGTTTAAATAATATATGGTCACTCTTTTATAGTTAACCGGATACTCCCTTGACCAAACAAGCAGAACAGAGCTGGATGAAGTCTTTTCTCAGCTTAGATTTATCAAAAATTCCTTGAGTGGTTCGACTTTGATGCTTTTAAATTCAGTGATTAATTTGAGAGAGTCGAACTGGGGACGTATGACAAGTGAAACTTCGTCAGAGTGGGTTTTGTTTTTTTTTCGGTTTGTAGTTGCTCTATTTAATTTTTTAATTTTAAATTTTAGTTCCTCTGAATTTGATGAACCACATTATGATGAAATTTTGAATGGCGTTATGTATGAAACAGAGGGTCAGGTTTTAACGAATGAAGAACGAGAATTTCTGATGGCAAATGCCACCCATGACGAATATATTATGTAAGAATTTGTTTGTGGGGCAAGTTATGGTTAGTTGGTACCATGATTTTTTCGTTTTCAGCGACAATGAAGACCCGGACGCCCTTTGCGATCCAGAACCTGAAATGGACGAAGAAATTCGAGCTGCTTTCAGTGAATTTGTTAAACTTAGTAAAGGATAGTCGCCTAAAAAAGTAATATAAACCTTGTCCTAAATTATTTTTTATTCAGTAGTTTTATTTTTATTGTGTAATGAAATTAATGTTGGCTTTCGTTTTTGTTAGTTTTTTACATATTCAGTAAATGTTCTCGTTGAAGCTGTAGTTTTTGGGCGGATTGTATTGATTGATGATACCTTGAATGATTAATATTGTGGTTGTAATGTAATAAAAATAGACTCCAAAACCAAAATGTTGCTTTTTTTTTGTAAACATAAAGTGGCGACAATGGTTAAAGATTTACTCTTTTCTTCTATTTTTTCATTAGTTGAAAAGCTTTCTATTTATTACACTTCAGAGTCTAAATTAAGAGAAATTGGTTGGATAGCTAATCTTGATCTACCGAATTCTGAATTCTGTTACTGAAGTACAGAACTGTCCTGTTTGCGTTTATAATGGTTTCTACTTATCAAGATAAATATTCATTAAATTTGCTTTACAAGTTAAAATTGATAGTAGTAATAAATCTAGCTGCAATGAAAGTGTGATTCCTCTTCCCCCTATTTATAAAAATATTCATTATTTCCCCTTTGCAGCTTAAATGCTGTGCCTGGGGTAATACTGTATTAGCTACAAACTGCTATTTAGTGTTTTACAGCTTTCTTAAATCGTTGAGGTAAGCAACCTAGTGAATTGACAATAAACATAAGCTTTGACAAAGACAAACGATAAGTATATTGTTTAAAAGTTTAGCCAATAAAGGAAATACACGAAAATAAACATTTATGGATGAATGGTCCACCAACCGATACCCAGCATTAACCAAAATTGGCACCACAGTTTGAACATCTCTTCTCCCTCATAGCTAGACAACACAAAATTCCAAGTGGAAAAAATAAAATCGCACATAGTAATCCAAGGCAAGTAAAGTCATCCTCTAGCACCCCAACTCTGCAGGCTGGACAGGCACCGATAATTATTACTTCAGGTTGAGTAATGACAACTGTTGTTGATCCATAAGAAGGGGGTGCGGTTTGCTGAGGATGGGCGAAAATTGGCGCTGATGCTTGGTATTGATGAACACCTGGAAATTTAAAAACTTTTTCTGGTAAAATCCTTTCTCCCTTGCTGATATTCCAAACGCCATAACAAAGTATCATTATCATGCCAATAAGAAAATTACCAGGTCCTGCGGAATACGGTGGTGGGCGTTGTTTATTCATTCCTTCGTCTGCGATAAATTGCTTCGGCTGGGATGTGTTTATTGCGGCGTTCTGAAGTTGTTTTTGTGAATTTTACAATAATTTTTTACCCAACAAAACATAAGCAGCTGATTGTGATTTGAAGTGAATAGGCAACACAAAATACACTGCAGTGGACAGCGATTATAAAAAATAAACCTATTCACAACTGGAAGTGACGTCACTGCGTTACCTTTTCGAGTCAAGATTGGGATCTGAGAATACGAATTATTTAATTTGAAAATAGGTTGTAAATGGTAAATCCGAATGAAAAATGTTTTAATATTGCGAAGACATCTCCGTAATTATTTTACTACAAACATCCTTTATCGACTTATACTTGTATGTTCATATTTAATGAATATATACCAAAAAAAATTATCAAATCGTAGAAGCATATCACCAAGTGTCGAATATAATCTTCCACTAATACCACCGTGTTAAATTATAAGTATTTGCAATGCTTCACTGCGAGAGCGAACAGGTTGAGGAAATACCATTGAAGTCACCGACTGAAGTCAATCGGAAATTCCCCGCTGAAATTCGAAGAAAGTTGCAAAACGATGGGGAAATTTTCATTCCATGTAGACAGCGACCTTTTATATGTTTATAATTTTGCATACCGTTTCATGGAACTGACCTACGCCCGACAAAGCATTGATCTCATGCTCCCCTTACTTCGATCTACTTAATAATTATTAAGAAATGTATCAGTACTTTAATAAACGCGCCTGAGGAAGGTCGGAAAAGTGGGTATCTGCTATTAGCAGTGAATTAAAAAATAAATTAATTTTCATCTTGCCGTTCTCTTATAAGGCCTTGACTTTTTTAGCCGTTTCATTTGGTTGCGATTCGCGTAGTATTGTGAAACCACCAGGTCAATTAAGTATAATTTTATCATACCGCCGTTGTTTAACATAAACTTGAATTATTTTCACATAAACTAAGAAAAATAGCCGCGGAAGTACCTTATCGCGTCTTCTTTTATTATTTTGATCATTATTTTCGACGCCTTCCGTATTAAATGGAAAGGAAATGTGTAGAAATAACGTTCGACAAAAAAAATGTTTTTCCACTACTAAAATTATATTTCCTCTGTCATAATTAGTACTCAAACTAATGTTAATAGAACGAAGCTTTATTATTATTAATATTATTATTTATATTATTAAAACTTTGAAAAACATAAAAAACACACCCTTTGTAACTCTTTATTTTATATCCCTAGTTCCAAAAGTGACCCAGATGGAACCTCAGGGGTCCACGGGAGGCTCGATAGGAGTCTACGTTGGTAGAAATGTAGCTGAAAGTGTTGAGAAAAAATTCCGAGAACCAAGGGTTTATAACGAAGATTGAAGCACAGAATTTTAAAAAATTATTTATTATCTCAAAAGGTACCAATTTTACGTCAAATCAACTTGGGCAATTTCTTCGGCAGATAGCCTTTAAATTATAAAAGTTAGTTTCGGTGAGAGATTTTCCCCATAATGGAAAATAATTTTAATGCATATACCGACTTCATACACAACTTTTGTATATGTTTAAAAATTTTCATACAAAAAGACAGTCTTTCACAAAAACAATAAAATATACAGAGAACGTAAGTGTTATTGGATAATTAAACGTTTACTTCTGAATTTACTTCTTGCACATAAATATTTAAGTAAGAACCTGAAATTTGGAAAAAGTCATGAGCTGTAGAATTGTTGACATGACAAATGGTCCCTTATAAGCAGATTTTTTTTACTCTCTCCTTTAATATACCTAATTATGCACTTATGTGTCCATATATAATCTATAAGTTTTAATATCTAGTACAAAGTTAAACATAAATTGATTGAAGATGTTTAAACATTACTTCAAGGATTAATATTTGAGATTTAAATTATGTACCACTGATTGGTCCAAGGTTAGGTGACGGAATTTAGTAGTCTCACTAAAAGGCTTTTGTTCCTTACAAAAAAAAAATGCCAACTCTGTTTAAATGTTAACAACGGACCCATTAAAGATTGCTATTTTTCAACACTATTTGCAAAAAATCTGCCCAGAAAAAATGCTGTAAAGTATATTTGAGGTTCTGAAATGGCCACCAGAGGTCGCACCTGCCTTCTTGAATTTTAAATCCCGTTTTCTTAAAAAAAATCTTTATTAATGATCCAAATCTTTTTTGTTGGGTGCTTTTCATTCTATCTCCAAAAGGGGTGCAACATTTCCGTAAATAAATGCGGATATTTCCAAAATGACTTAATGCACTTAATGCATGTCGTTAAAAAGGACTTTTCCTAGGCTATCAAACCTGCAATGAATGAGATGATTTCGACTGACTACCAGATGACGTTTTCTGACGTAATGTTATATATTATAATGAATTTTTTACATCATTAGATAGTCCAACAAGAGCCGAAAAACCTTATCTCAATATACTTTTCCTAAGCTAAAATATAAATAAGACAATTTAAAACTTATAAGAAGTTTGGTAAGCTTCTTCAGTCTACTGGTTGTTATTGAAATAAAAGTTCGTTGTTTATCTTAGTTTATATTGTTTTTTTTTACCATACCATAGACATTATTATAACATTCTTACCTGTTTTCAAATATTTGGTAATATCGGTTTTTGTTTCAATATTATAATATTAATATTGTCAAAGGCTAATTCAGTTTATTAATTACCAAAAATCCTAAAAGAAATACAAACAGATAATAATAGTGATAATAGTTTGCTTTTTTAGTAGGGTGTGAAATTTGACAAAGCGGAATCTTCATCGGCATCTTTCATGTCGTTATTTGATGCTTACCGAAATATTTTCAAAGTTTGCGTTTATCGTTATCCATGTTTAGTTTCCAGAATGGTCGGATGTAGTTATTAATTAACAAGCGTTGCGTTAGGTTAGGATAAAGATATTGAGATTTAGTTTTCAGATAATTTAATGTATAGTATAGTTGCTAATATACTTATCGTGCAAAAGTTTTTTCAAGGTTCTGCAGAATAGTAAAAAATGAAAATGAAAAACAAAAACACCGGGGAGGAAAATAATATCCAGGGCGTCTCATAGCAAATATTGCTATTTCTTCGGCCATCCCATTGAACCACCTGTGTATCAGGTAATGGAAAAAATTGTTACATGCTAACTTTTAGTATACCGCACATTTCATGGAGGTCATTTGCATCGACCCTGTATAAGCAGTGCATCGGTTTTTCTTATTACCGACGCACGTCGCGGTGGAAATCTTAAAACCCAGCCTGCAAGGCGACCAGACCCGCACCACGTGGACTTTCGCTTTATAATACGCGTACCGGCGATGAAACGCCTCACTTTTACCGAGTGATTCAGTCGTTCAGCTACGAGGAATCACTTTGTACAGGCGCGATGCCGGCCTCCGGTCAATTGGACCTAGTTCTGGACGAGTCGGGTGGCTACAGCGACCACCTGGTGTCCTCCGACGAAGAAGCGACCTTTTCTATCAAAAATCTCGACGGAAACGACGACTACGTGGAACCCGCTGCCGACAAAAGGGTGAATTTCCCTAGTTTGCCGTCACGGAAGGAGCACGAGACCTTCTTCCGCGAGTGCTTGGACATACTGCTGAAGGACGCGATTTTCGAGGGTACCAGCCGCAGAAATAAACTGCTGGACTTTAAGAACCCGGAAAAGTTGCAAGCGCTCTTCGATTTCGAGCTGAAGAACGAAGCTTCGACCCATTCGGATTTGCAGAAAATCGTGAAAGACGTAATCAAGCACTCCGTGAAGACGGGCCATCCGTATTTCGTCAATCAGTTGTTTTCTTCGGTCGATCCGTACGGTCTGATTGGTCAGTGGTTGACAGACGCCTTGAATCCGAGCGTGTACACTTACGAAGTTTCTCCGCTGTTTACCTTGATGGAGGAAACGGTCTTGAGGGAGATGAGAAAGATTGTAGGGTGGAAAGATGGGAGGGGTGACGGGATATTCAGCCCCGGTGGTTCTATCGCTAACGGATACGCCATTAGCTGCGCCAGGTGCTTCGCTAATCCAGATATTAAGGTTAGTGAGTATACATAGGGCGTTTAAATAATTATTGTTTCTTATAAGCTTGCGGACAAATGGGGTTTATTTTGGTCAACCTTTGTGAGATATTTCGCAAGCGACCTAGCATTTGCCAGGTTCCTAGATTCAACGTAACTAACCAAAACGATTTACTGTCAAATTTAAATATAATATACCGCGCTTCATGCAAACGTATGTCAAAAAATGCCTAGTTTCTAAGAAACGGGGTGTATATTTTGTTTATATGTATAATTAAAAAAAAAACGGTTTTTTTAATATTTTTGCCAGATCTTATTGAAATTGGGTAGCGTCATTGATAATGATGAAGAGTTAATTTTGTTTTAAGTTTATTAACGCCACTAAAAGTACAAGTATTTTCACTCTTGAGTTGTTTGCGTATCCCTCGTATTCGAGCTAAAACATTTTATAAAATCATGAAAACTTACATAAGGTACTTTTTAGGAACATTTATTTTTAATATTTTTTATTTATTTAAAAATAATTGGAATCAGGCATGTAGCTTATGGTCATGGTATCAAAACAGTAGCTTGTCATGTCTAAAAAAATGTAAATAGGTGAAGACTAATTACATAAAAATTTTGAGAAAAAAAATGTCCTATCAAAAAAATTAAAAAAGTTATCTAAGACAAGATTTTCACAAATTAAAAAGTTGGAATCCGCTACGTAAAAACAAACTTTTGAAAATCCTCTCGTAGCCCAAAAATTACACCACGTATCAAGATGAAGTTTTTATATTCGAACTTGTTACAAAGCTACAAAAAACATCGAATAATTAATCAGTAGAAACTCAATTTTGCTTTCAATGGTCAAATGTAATTTTTATGTCAAAATTCTCAGACCATTTTTATTAAAACTTAAAAAAAAAGAACCTGAAAAACATACGGCTAATACAATTGTTGCTTTTTCAAAAAAAAAAAAACTAAGCAATAATGCAAAAAAAAAGAAATTTTTATATAGGCTTAGATTTAAAAAGAATATTGTTATTGCAAGGTGCGATGAAATTTTAAAAGTCAATATTTTATATATAAAAAAGTGCTCAATTTCCATTTTTTCTATAATTTTCTTACTTTTGATACTCTCTATCTTTTATCCGAAGGTTCCTAGATAAATACTTTATAGGAAAAGCTCTCTAAAATTCACCAAAGATTACGAAGTTCATTTTTGGTTACTATTTGTGAATCACGATATAGATACAGCATGATATTGATCGGGATCGCAGACAATTTTTTAAACAACTGCGCCACCCTGCATAATTATACTACAATTAAGTAGGACATGATTAAATGTTTCGAGTTTAATTCCTATAATAATGAATATAATTGACTTTCTGATTGCTGCGTTGTGTTCGTTCATAAAAAACTTTGGGCGCAGTTTGAACCTCACCCTAATCTCAGGCCACTGCTTGTACTTATTATTCCGCAAGCACCAACAAACAAATTGGATACAGTGAATGCCAAAAAAAATATAATACAAGGTTCTTAATTGTTTACTGTTTACTAGATGATTGTTAAATCATTTTTTGTATAGTTTCGCATTTGATGGTGCAAGTATATCTACCTAGAATAGAATGTGTAATAAAAATTTCTTATAGCGTCCATTTTCATAAAAAATTATCAAGTTTTGCCAACTTTTTTCGATTCTGCGTGTGTTATTTCCCCAAAACAATATTCTGCCTAAACTCGAAATCTAATATAATAAAATATGTGATATATATATATATATATATATATATATATATATATATATATATATATATATATATATATATATATATATATATATATATATATAATATAATAATAATATATAATGTAAAAGACAATTTTGAAGGAATTCCAATTTTAAGTTAAGTTAATGTCTACATAACAGAATATGTTGCAGTTTAAGAAAGATGAATAATTTTATTATTATAAAATTATTTATTTAGAAAAAATACCTCAGATTTTTCGTTACTTCCTCGAGACAGACCACATGCTTAGCTATTACCGTTTCTGCGCTTTACTTTCTAACGAGCAACAGTCATTAGCCAGCTTTATTAGGAAAACGTCATTAGCCGAACAAACAAACGCAGAATTAAGCCAGTTAAAAAATTCAAATGAAATAGGCAGTTCCTCGGTATTGCAAATTGCGATCAATTAACCAATTGGTAGCGTAATATAATTAACCGCATTGGAATACAATGTTGCGCTTTAACAACGGGCATCAAAATGGAGATTTCGTTGACATCTGTCAGCCCTAAACCAATTGTATCACCATTTAAACACACAGAAAGTTCAAAAGTCTTTTCGCCGTGAGAATATAAAACCTTTTCAGCGTATTTTGCTGTTTAAAAATATTTCCCAAAATCAATATTATAGTGATTCCATGTTTAAAGTTCATAGTAACGTCATACTGAGCAAATTTACAACTTCCCATATCTTTCTTATCTCGCAGTTTAATAGTCATAAGGAAGTCGACCAAAACAAATCGCAGTCAAAGTTCCAATCTCCACTACTAGGGCACTGTTTTTTCTCGGTATTAAGGTAACTAGATTATCTAGTGATCTAAAGAATCATATAAAAACACATATTTATTTAATCTCTTCGTTATCTTCTACAAATTAGAAATAACTTTTTTATTTTTCGAAAAAACATGCAAATTTTTATTCAGCAGAGAATATTTTACTTGCAGACGAAAGGTCTTCATTCGCTACAGCGCCTCGTCCTGTTCACGTCCGAGGACGCTCACTACTCCATCAAGAAAATGGCGTCGTTTTTGGGAATCGGCACTGATAACGTGTATTTGATAAAAACAGACTTCAGGGGTAAAATAATAACATCCCATCTCCTCGAGCAAGTGGAGCGATCTATAGAAGAAGGTTTGTTTAATTTAACAGATGGAAGATGAGGTTTATCATAAACCTAAGTACCGTTTATGATCTTAAGCAACCAACTACGAAGAAGCCCCACCAATTATCAACGATGTGGGATATGAATTGCTCTGTATTTTTTTTATTTTCTATAAGGTGGACTGCCAGTTGTCCTTCTATCTCTTAAGTGGTCTTCTTTCTTGTTCTTATCGGTTTCTCTTCAAGTGTAATGGGTGGCAGTCTGTTCTCTTCTAATTATCTAAGCTAATTATCTCATGTTTTTACTTTAGTTGTATTATTCATATGGAGACTGCGGACAACTCTTATAATAGGGCCTGACGTTTCTTTCTCTGTAAGTTTGACTATAATGTCGGAAAGGCGAACCATTTGATGATGAACCTATTTCGCCTAAAGCCCTGTTGTTCTTCCCTGTTTCTTATTTGCGTCTCAAGTCTTTTCTGTCTTGAATATGGAGACAGTTATACTTTTATGAAATTCTCTAGCTATTTCCGATGTTTCTAAACTCTAAACTATAATATTTTTGGCTGTTTTACTAGCTCTGGTCATGCCTATTTCGGGCGTTTTTTTGTTTTTTGGTGTTAAAAAGACGTAACTGCTTTTGTTTGCACGAATTCGTTTAGTCACTTTTTTCTGTTCGTGAGCATTTTCCGGACTTTTATCTGTGCGCCATATAGATCGATAGTGATGGATCACTAGTGATCAATCAATCAATTAAAAACATTCTTTAAATCTCATTACTTTAAAGTTATTTTGGCAACCTAGATCCTGGTTAAAACAGATTAGCGAGATAGCGTCAGCTCTCTTGGCAATTGATGTCTAGCTTGTTCATGGAAGTTTCTTTCCAGGTGGTAAACCTTTTATGGTGTGCGCGACGGCCGGTACAACCGTGATCGGAGCTTTCGATCCTTTAGAGGAGATAGCGGACTTGTGCGAAAAATACGGCATGTGGTTGCATGTAGACGCCGCATGGGGTGGGGGCGCTTTGATGTCCAAGAAACACAGACATCTACTTCGAGGCATCGAAAGGTTTGTCTACAATAATTAATTTTGCAGTCGTTATTTTATATACACTTAATGGTAATTATTTAAGCATTAGATTTCATTTAAACACGTACCCTAGTCTGATTTTCAGAATACAGAGTATTAATATCAATAGTAGTGAAGTTCGATATCAAGATCTAGGTGCTAATTATAAATTCCATCTAGACAAAAAAATATATCCACCGAAAAGAATATTAAAGAGGTCATTTCTTCGACAAATTAGCAACCCAAAAAAAGTTGCACTCAATACAATAGTAAGTCTGCAACCTTTCTGTGAAACAGGGCTCTATCTTAGGGCCTCTGTTTTTCAGCATATATCTCTAACTTTCCTTCTATTTTAAAACATGTATGTACATAATTACGTTGAAGATTCCAAACGGCTTTAGTTTTTTAAAGTAAATGAGAGATCTGGCACTACTTCAAAGATTAACGAGAAGCGTCGACATATCTTCCGCTCATAACCTAAAGCTTAATGTCAATAAGTGAGAGTATCATCTCTGTGTGAGTCAGTAATTATATCTAGGTTATTATATGCTGATTCAGTTGGTAGCGTGGCTTTAACGGCGAGGGTTAGTGAGAAAATGTTCAGAACGCTGGCTTTAGATTTTCTTTTAATATTAGACAATATAACACGAAGAGTCAGGTTATGCGGAAACAGAAACGTCTGAAGCTTAAATCTTTAAGATAGCTTCACCTGCTCAATTTTATTTACAAAACCAATCAGATAAAATACTTATATCTTTTAGGGAGCTAAATACAACTTTTAAAAAAGAGTAGCAACTTTTATTTCGACGTAACATGGCATTATTTAAAATATATTTTTCACATGAAGCTCCTAAATTGATAAAAAAAAATTCCAATATATTTTTTAAACGACTTAGTTTTCACGCAGAAACGACCGTTACCAATTTTTCAAGAAATCCGTCACGACCTTGACTATCTAGATTAATGGAACTGTGCCAAATCACAATTATCCTAATTAACTCTACAAAAATTGATTAATAACTATTACAAATCGGAATACCGACAAGATCTCTCAAGGGTAAAGCGAATTAATTTTAAAAACGCTAATGTAAAAACAACTAATTGTGATTTAACAAGGAAAGTATGGTAATGATAGGAATTTGAGAGATTGGCCGCGCTCGTATTCAACCTATGGGTGAACAGACCAAGGTTCTCGTTATGGACAGATGATCGTTCGCTTCCGTTTTCGAACGTCAGATGTTGTTGATATGACAATTAACGTCGACTTTTTCGCAATAACTTGATTTCTCAGATTACTGAATTGATTAATTAAAACTGTAAATTTGGGATGCGGAACATCATCTCTTAATTAAAATTAAATTTAAAATTGAAATCGAAAATCGTTACTTCGACATATACGGTGTGTTGCATTAAAATATGTTTAACATAAAAAGTGGTGCGCAATTTGGCACTTCAACTACTAAACATTTAAAATCTGGTAAAGAGTAATCTTATAAAAACATCCCTCCATCTTATAAAAACTAAAAAAACGCTCCCACTTATGGAATATCCTCCCTAAGTAAGCATAAATACAGGATGTGCCACAAAATAAGAATAGCATTTTGCGTGCCTTTTTTGAAATTGTAAAACCAAAGCGCAATTTTAAATGGCAGGACACCAAACGTCAATCCAATTTTGTAATTTAAATACAACGAGGATGATTTTCTTTTACCGCACATATTGGAATTATGTTAAAAAAATTGCCCATTTTGCGTTATGTTTCGCAAATTTTCCTGTTTATTTATGTCTTTATAATGTTCAATTATTTTGGTTATAAAACCATACGAACTAGAATTTTGCGAATGTTTGCTTCCCTAAGGATTTAAAGAATTTTGTTTATAATGTAATTTTGCAAATTGATCTGCTGTACGAATGGTGAAAATTTTTTAGGGATATAATTTAGCATATTTAGGTTAATTTCAAAAATGCCAAACCAGATCTAAAACACCCACTTTATTTTTCATTCGCCCTGTATAATAACTCAGCGGCAGTAAGTACCTGTGCGAAAATAATGTTTATAATATAAACGCACCTACCATGTAATGGTGCTAAAATAAAAATTAGTTTCTTGTTATAATCCAAGGAAAAATTTGCATTTTACCATGTTTTCGCCAGTGGCGTTTTTTGATAAATTTGTTGTTTTATTTTGAAGCTGACAGTACATTTTACATGTGCATTGACAAAATAAGCGAAATGGAATTGGTCGATCTTATGCAGTAGAAGTTTGTTACTAGGAGCTCATTTAACATTCGTTAGGTAATAAAACGGCCTGCTAATTATACGGCTAGTTGCACTGCAATAGACCTTTCGCTTCCATTAACGAGGATTTAAAAACAATTAACGCTTTTTTGTCACATCCAGAGAATGAGCCATTTAAATTGCCTATATGTTTTTGTATTTATTCGTGCTTTATTCAAGGTCGCACGCGCACGTACGGTGCTGCTGGTTATCCACATTTCTTCAGTTCTTCAATCTCAAAATATTAGAAAGATAAAAAACCATTTTTTCGTTTTACTTGAAACCTGTTAATACTGGAATGACGCAATGCAATGAACGTCATGATAGACTGAAGAAGTTTTTCAACACTTTGCATACTGTACTTGAGAGTATATTAGAGCAGGGCATGGAAAAAAAATACTATTGCCGAAATTCTAACATTATAGCGCTTCCACCATTTTGTGAAGAAACATTTTCGTCTGCACTGGTTCTTTTATAAACTAGTTTGTGTTATTATTAAACCGAAAAACTTCGCAGCTTAATTTATAATTCCTTTGACAGGACATAAACAATTGTTATCAGGGGCTGCAATGTTTCCAATTAAAAATTTAAATACAATATCAAATAAACTTCAAAAGAAAACCGCTGTAAAATTAAAAAAAATATATTGTCCCCTGTATAAAAACTTTAAGTAATGGGAAAGTTTTATTTCTAAGGAGCATCATATTATTAAATATTAAAATCATTGTCAAAATCGAAATTATCAAATTACTGGTCTTCCACCATTTTGTCCTGAAATATTTTAGTGGTTATTTTATATAATGGTTTGTAAATGAATGTAAAGATATTAACCCATTTATAGCACCAGTAGACACCAGCAAAGAGCTGGAGAAATCATAGCAGGAGCTGTCATTGAATTTCTCTAATTGCAGGAAATGATGGTAGTACAATTTTGAAATTCTTGCAATGATAAATTAAAAATTAAATAAAACTAAAAAGGAAACTGCTTCCTAATAAAAGAAGATGTTGTCGCCTGTACCACTTTTAAAGGGCATCCTACAGTCTATCGGCACCGTTTTCGTATTTTGATAAGACGAATTTTGAATGAAATTTAGTTGCGAAGAAGTTTATGAAAAACCCCCGTATAAACTATATTTAAATAGATACGGAAGAGTATAAAAAAATAAAATTCTAAATGGTGCCATTGAAAACACCAAGTTCAAAAACACAGTACTTGACGGCCGCCCCTGTTTCAATTTCAGAGCCGATTCCGTAACATGGAACCCTCACAAATTGCTGACGGCACCCCAGCAATGCTCGACGCTCCTCGTGAGGCACGAGAAGATCCTTACGGAAGCGCACTCGGCCAGTGCGTCCTACTTGTTTCAGAAAGATAAATTTTACGACACCAAATACGACACAGGTACGGATCAAGGAAATTTCCCTAAATATCGATAGTTTATATTAATCTCTCTAGGTGATAAACATATTCAATGCGGTCGCCGAGCCGACGTGCTGAAGTTCTGGTTCATGTGGAAAGCCAAAGGAACCGACGGTTTGGAGAATCACATCGACAAAACCTTCGACAACGCGAAGTTCTTCATGGAAACCATCAAAAACCGTCCGGGTTTCGAGGTCGTGATCCCGGAACCCGAATGTACCAACATATGCTTCTGGTATGTCCCGGAGAGACTCAGGAATTCCAAGTCCGATCCGGACTACAACGAAAGGTTGCACGCCGTGGCGCCGAAAATTAAAGAAAAGATGATGAAGGAAGGCTCGATGATGGTTACCTATCAGACGCACAAGTCGAAACCTAACTTTTTCCGGATAGTCTTCCAAAATTCTGGATTGGATCGGAACGACATGTTGCACTTGGTGGAGGAATTCGAGAGGCTCGGAAACGATCTATAAATTGACCCAGTGTTTGTTGCGGCGCTGGAATTGCTGTCGCGCTTCTAGAGTTAGGTTTTATTTATTTAATTTCGTTGTTGATTGTCTGTATTACTTGGAGGTTTTTTTCTGAGATTTCGTAAGTGTTCGAAGTGATAAAGTATTCTAATAAATATATATTGCACCTGATATAATATTATTTATTTATTTTAACAAATTATGACTAAAGCAAACTTTGATCCGTTGTAGTCGCGTGATCGTCATCAAAAGGATAAATCAATGATGTCAATTTTACCTGACGGTCATTGACTATCCAAAATTATCCATCTGTGATATGATTGAAGTAATTTTTAAATAAATACAGCGAAACTAACCAAGACGAACTTAGCTTAAACACCTCTTTAAAATTAATAGCGTTGCAAGGTTCCTAGGTATGTATATTAATTGTTATTAACAAACTATATTTATTTTCCCAAAGATAACGTTGCATAGGAATATTCAAAATACATGACAGGTACAACTGACATATACAAAAACATTTACTCAAAAAAATAAAATGTTTTGGATAATAAAAATATTTTCAATCATTTTTGACAAGGTTTTAAACGTTTTTTAAAAATTCGAACACCCAAATGATCACGTGACCTAGAAGTAATGGACAGCCTACAGTACAAAACATTGTCTTACAATAAAATTTCAAAAATGTGAGAATTATGTATTTATTCTCCAAGTTCCTTAAAATCACCACAGTCAAATGTCCGACTTTAGATATTATTATAGTTCAAGTGCTTTTATTTTTTCTGAAGCTAAGGTGGTTATCTATAAAAATGTGGCATTTATCTACAAAAGAAGAAAGCATACTCAAACATTTTATAAAAACTATTTGAAATAGTTACCGGACCTTCTTGAAAACTGGCACAACTCTATTTCTTTTTGGAGAGGATAGGAATGTGCCACTTAAAAAAGATAGATCCACCAAGGATGTAAGCGGACCTGTTATCAAACCCAATGCTCTTTGTAATATAAACGTTGGTATGCCATCGGATCCAAAAGACTTTTTGTTTTTTAATTTATCTTTTAAAGTATGCAAGAGCTCCTCCTCCGTAAAAGGTGCCATATATAACTCTCATCATTCACTTCCCTAATAACACTCAGACCAATCTTTTTGTTATCCAACTGAATTAAACATTTCAATTGTTTGATGTAATTTGAAATAAGCATATTTAAATAAAAATGTGAGGTAAAATACCGCCTAGCTATTAGTGTCTTACAATGAAATAATAATGGTTTTTGATTACATAGTCGTCATAGAAAAGGAAACATCATTCACTATAATATGCTTGTTTTAGGTATAACTATACCCATACAATTATTTTTTTTTTGGTCGTTGTTGTTGAAGATATTTAACAAAATAAATACCGATTACTAAATATAAGCTCTAAATGAATCTAAGAAGTACCGGTTTCTATATAATTTTACCCTCAACAGATATTCCACAACAAACTTCGTTTTTCCACTGCGACATATCCTTACTACAAAATAAAAAGTTCTTCTCTCACTATTCTTCACAGCAAGTAAAATACATACGGGACTGACATTCATAACCTTAACCTAAGATTTTATGACTAGTCGGCTATGATAGAAATTTCAGGACCATTTTAGAATTTATAATATTAATGAAATATTATATAGTACTTCCTATAGACTATAACTTTAATCAGAATTTGATGACGCCTGTCTTCGATCACGTCCTTTATACTTGTTTATATGCATAATTTAAGTACATCTTAATTAAGTTAGTTATTAAGTAATGAAATAAATCAAAATATCTTATTCCACGGGGCCGGATATTGATCTTCTTTTAAGTGGCCTCCAGTTACCCTGTGTTTTTCTATATCATATTGTTGGCTGGTATAATTTCTACTTAATATTGTACTAATGATTTTTATATATGCAACAAATAGAGATTATTATTATGCGCGGTTAGATTAAATAGTTCGAGGCGACGTACTGGCTATAAGTGATATTTTCATTAGGGTTATTTTTAATTCAATTTATAACGAATAACACAGTAGCTGGTTTAGAAAAAAACAATTGATATCTTGTTTCTAGATTGCAGCACCCATTACACTTGGTATAGGTTTCTCTTTGTTTATGGTTACTATTTTCAACACATAAATATTTCATTCTTCACATTTCATATTCATATAAATTATTTCATTGGCAATTTTTAAAGTTTTTTAACATTTTAAATTAATTACGGATAATAATAATACTCAAGCTATGTAATAACCATTGTTTAAAACATTTTGATATTTCTGCGTAATCCGTATTCCATTATGTAATATATAATATAATTATATAATGAAAATATAAAAGTTCATAATTAAATGTTCATAATCTAATTACATTTTTGTTAGAGACCTTAATTAAATATTTTTATATTTAATTTTTAAAATATTGGTGTTTTGAGTGATTTTAAATTGATTAAAGGGTAACACATAAATATCATGTTCAAATGAAAGGAGGTAATTTCTTGGCTAATTATAAGAAAAAGGTTTGTATAACTCTCTTGGTCAGGGCGTTAAAAAATTGCTTTAATACAAAAAGTTTCTTTTTGTTCCCAGAAGCGATTAACTTAATAAAAACACTTTATATTTCTTTAAAGTCAAATATTTCCGTTATTGAAAAACACTCTTTCAGTTCCGATTCTTCTTCTGCAGAAACTCGTTTGATTTGTTGCTCCGTATTTTAGGTTACATTGGACTAAAATATTGTAGATAGATGGATTTAGTAATGTCTATATTTAAATAATACTAGCTTTAACGAAATTTCGATTTACATTCAATTTTAGAGAAAAATTTAAATTCTTAAGAAATTAATTTGAAACATGTAGCAGTATTTAATATTGATGTAACTCAAGCAGTGTTATTATATGTAACATAATAATATGTATGTATGTACATTTCTATCATTTGAATCTTTATGAGTGTTTAAGTTATATCTTCAAAGTCACTTGTTAAAAGAGCTTAAGAGTGTACAAATTATTTTTATATTTAGTGATAATTGTTACAAGCTATATATAAAAATTTATGATCCAAAATTCAAATTTATTTATTGCATTTATTTATCAAATTTAAAACACGATATTTTATGCGGGTAATAAGAACTTTTATGACTTGTTTCATCACCCCATTATTTCCAGCTTTTCCAGAAATTCGACCAGTATGCGACAGTTCGTAAATTTCAATCCCATTTTTTTTACTTGGGTGACATCCACTGCTAAAAAGTGGCAGTGGGGAAGAGCGGGGAGGGAAACCGCCAATATGGTAGCCAGACATATTCCGTAACATAAGATATAAATATAAAAACTCAAAATTTATAAAAAATATCTGTCGAAGATCTTCAGAGGCAAATATATAAATAAATTAAGCATCCACAGATGTTCAAAAAGTACACAATTAGAACACAATTATCTAGATTTCGAATAAAAAAACCAACGGAATGAAATTTTCAACTATAAAACAGTGTTCACTTTATGGATAATATACGAAAATTTTGCGGCAATAGGGTTTTAAAAGTTAAGATGCCACTTACGCCATCGGGTGGCCAAACTAGATGGCCGATTTATTTATTTTTTTTTTAATTTCTCTCAATTTTCTCGACGTTCGGTATAATAACTTCCCCTAACCATGTGAACTCCGCCTATAAAATAATTTTATTAATAGGTAAGCGTACAATAACACGATCAATCACAATTATGCCGCCAAACTATATAATATGTATTACTTAACGAAATTTAATACTAAAACCTAAATCATAATTAAATTCTGAACATGAAAAATTATAGAAATTTTACTCTAATAATTTTTGAATGTAATTCGCTTACAATAATGAATCTGCATCGTATAATCAATGAAATGTCCGAATATCTGTCCCAAATTTTACTTTATTACAAGTATATAGATCGGGATTTTCTTTAAATATGCTGCCGTTTAGAATAATTTCACGTCAGGATTTTCTCGCATCGAGGAGGACGATCGGGTTTGGTTTTCAAAAAAGAAAAAACCTTTTCCAATCCGAAACGGGTACACCGGGGACGCCGTTTTGTATTCCCGCTCGTGTCCAGTATTGATTGACACGCGGACAATCGACTGAATTATATCCCAGGCGTCGCAGTTTGCATGCCATTCGTACAGAATGCAATTTATAGGAAAACTCTTTTGCCCATTTTTCGATTGTTTTGTCGACGTGTTTCGGCGACAAGAAGTTCTCTACGGGGTGTTGTTTAAGCCCGTGACTGAACTCTAGAAGGGGATTCACTAGAAATTTTAATATAATAATAAATTTTTAATATAAAGAAGAACACTACCCTTATAGTATTGTAAAAAGAACAATTTACTATCCTCTAGTCCAATTTATTGTTTGGTATAGCATTTTGCTTTGGGGCTGAAAGTTGAACTTTTCCAGCTTAAAAATAAAAATTTATAAGTCTCAACTACGAGCATAGCGAAAAAACTTACAAAAAATATTCCAGCAGCCTAAAAAAACATTGCTGAAACGAACAGAGACGAAAAAGATTTGATATATGGGTGAATGCGTTCTAACTATTACTTAAAATTTCTACCATTTTAAAACAAGACTTTTTATTTTTTTGCGTGTATTAGTTATCTATTTTACTCTAAAAATAAAAGAAAGGATTTCACTCCAGCTTCAAAGCCTCAAAAACGAGAAACAAATTTCAAATTTTCTCTTTCCACTATTTCATCAACTCATGCGAACAGTACCCTTTTGACATGATTAAATATAGGTTTCATAGTGCTCAAGGTTGATGGCGCTCGACTCATATAAATTTATCATCATCATCAAATTTAAAAATTCGGTTAATTTTAAAGACAAAACCGGAATTCAGTGTTAACTTAAAACATTAACCAAAAAAGTGTATATTTTCTTTAGTTTCATTATAAAAATAAGGTAATTAATTTAAATCATTCATTGCGACAAAAAAACGAAATTAAAGATAAATTTTAGACATTTAACTGATATGTTGTAGGTTTTCTCTGAATGACAACTTATGTTATACAAAAAATATTATGAAATATATTCATGACCGTCTAATTAATACAAAAATGTCATTATTATAAACCCTCATAACTATTTCAATTTGATTTAAAGAGACGTCGACATCACACGTTAGGTAGATAGTC